TCACTACTAGACTGGATCCCAGTTGATAGTCGCCTCTGCGCTATGAGGCTGAACGGCACAGTGAGAACTAAAAGGAATAGTGAGACTCGCCGTTGTCTCTTTGTAATCTCTGCTTACGCACCCACTGACTGTAGTTCGGATGAAGTGAAGGACGAGTTCTACCATAAACTGTCTAACCTCCTCTCGAAAGCCAAACGTTCGGACGTAGTGGTTGTTGCAGGTGACCTCAACGCACAGGTGGGTAGACTGAGTGAGGCAGAAAGGCACTTAGGTGGCACTTTCGGAATCCCAGCTGAACGTACAGATAACGGTGATCGCCTATTACAACTATGCTCAGATAACCGCCTATTTTTAGCCAGCACAAATTTCAGACATAAAGAAAGGCACTGTCTGACCTGGCGTCCACCGAGCTCGACTCAGCGATGGACACAGATAGACCACATTGCTATTAGTCATCGCTGGAGAGGATCGGTGGAAGACTGCCGCTCCTTCTGGAGTACGTGTTTGGACAGCGATCATGCGTTGGTCCGAGCACGTATATGCCTGCGTCTCAATGGACGTAGAAAAAATTTGGCAACAAAACCACTACGAGTTCTGCTGGACAACGAAAACACCAAAGCCGTGTTCAGTGAGAAGTTGGCTAGGCAGTTATCGGAACAAAAGACTGTCACTCATCCAGAAGAAGCTTGGTGCCATCTTCAGTCTACTGTAAAAGCAGCACTGGAGACTGTAGCCGACTCCAAGATAATGGCTAAAAAGAGCCAGTGGATATCAGCAGCTTCTTCCAAACTAATGGATGCACGTGAATGCATCCCTGCAGGCTCTGAGTACAATGAAGAGCGAGCGCAACTTAAAAATAAACTGACGAAAAGTCTGCGCAACGATCGTGAACAGTGGTGGGCAGCAAAGGCTAAAGAGATGGAAAAGGCAGCGGCGATCGGTAACAGTAGACAGTTATTTAGACTTATTAAGGAGACTGGGGGGAAATGGTCAACAACAGTTAGTGAGGTTATAGCGGAGAAGGACGGATCGGCGATTCACTCGCAGGGAAGGCGACTGGGACGATGGGCAGAACACTTTGAGGAACAGTTTAACTGGCCTCCAGCCACCATTGCGCTGCCCGCTATCCAGTCGGACCCTGAATGGGACATAGAGACAGGTCCCCCAACACTAGAAGAAGTTGAGAAAGCGGTAGGTAGCCTGAAACGGGGAAGGGCAGCAGGACCAGACGGACTACCTGCTGAGGTATACAAGAATGGTGGTAGAGTTCTCTTAGTCAGGCTAACGGAAGTGTTAGCCAGTATATGGGAATCAAATACGATCCCCTCCGACTGGTCTAAGTCACTCATCATCCCAGTCTTCAAGAAAGGCGAGAAGTCCTCTTGTGATAACCACAGAGGAATCAGCCTGACAAACATAGTGTCTAAGATCCTAAGTTCTATAATTCTCCGACGCCTGAGTGGAGCTCGGGAACAGCAAGCCCGAGAAAACCAGGCCGTGGATGTATCGACCAAATATTCACACTGCGCCAGGTCCTGGAACATAGGCATGCTTACAGACGCCCGACAATAGCTGTATTTCTCGACCTGAAGGCGGCATTTGACTCCGTTGATCGAGAAGTCTTATGGCAGTGTCTGTCACTGAAAGGCGTGCCTAGTAAGTACATCACCTTATTGAAAGCTCTCTACTCGAACACTTGTGGGCATGTTAGAGCCTATGGTGAGTTGTCCAGGGAGCTATACTCATCAAGTGGTGTCCGTCAAGGATGCCCACTATCCCCATTCTTATTTAATTTTATCATAGATATTCTTATGGAGGTTTCCCTCTCGTCACCTAATTACAAAGACGTTGACCGGATCACAGGTGAATTTTCCTTAGATCTAGAATATGCAGATGACATAGTCCTGTTAGGTGAAGACGCTGACAAGATGCAGAGTCTTCTGAACACTTTGAGTGGGAATTTGAGAATGTTTGGGATGCGATTTTCACCACCCAAATGCAAATTTTTGCTCCAGGACTGGTCTTCAGCGGTACCGCGGTTAACAATAGAGAGTGAAGTGGTTGAGTGTGTTGACCACTTCACTTACCTGGGAAGTAGGATCAACCCGGTGGGTTAGTTGCCGATGAGATTTCTGCACGGATACAAAAGGCTCGATTGGCTTTTGCCAATTTGCGCCACCTATGGCGCCGCCGTGATATTCGTTTGTCTATTAAGGGTCGCGTGTACTGCACAGCAGTCCGCTCTGTTCTACTGTATGGCTGTGAAACATGGCCATTGAAAGTGGAGATACAAAAAGGCTTCAGGTGTTTGACCACCGTTGCCTTCGTAGTATAGGACGTATTCCGTGGTGTCACCATGTGAGTAATGCAGAAGTTAGGTGTAGAGTTTTGGGGAGAAGAGGTAAGTCAGTCGACGAGGTTGTGAACCTTCATCGACTGAGATGGTTGGGACACGTACTACGTATGCCTAGTCACCGATTGCCTCGTCACACAATGTTGGCTGAGGTGGGTTCAGGCTGGAAAAAGGCCCGAGGTGGCCAGACTAAAACATGGCACCAATGTATGAAGTCTCTGACTGTTGGTTTAAGCCATGTAGGACGATGCAGACTAGGTGGTTGGGGTCCACGGGACAAGAGGAACCAGTGGTTGGAGACCCTAGGTGATATGGCTCAGAACCGAAGTCAGTGGCGCAGATGTATACACACATTATCCTCATCTTAACAACGCTATACCGAATCTCACTATTTTGTCACTCCTCTTTCCTTTCTTCTCGTACTTTATATTTCTTTTGACTGCATTCACTTATCTTCATCCTTCACCTCACTACCTTTTTACTTGATGTGCTGATATGAGGTGTGGCAACTCGGACCGTTACGCAGTAATGCCTGGTCCTATGTTGATAATGATGATGATGTCCTTATTCCTAATTTCCTTTATTACACCCGATGTAGTGTCCATGGATACATTTTTCAAGTGAATGAACATTATTCAAAATTCACAGTGTATCCGTTTCTATGCCACGGAATATACAATGTTAAAATATTGTCAAACCATTTTTTGAAAGTTTTAAGCACGGATATAATAAGCAATCAATTTCCTCGCGAAAAATTGAATCTAAACTACTCAGATACGTGTCATGTAAGAACCGCATCCGTATTTTATTACCTAAAAATTTACATTACTTCGGAATAAAATAATACCATACTACTAAATTGCAAATAATCAGTTTTTTTTAATCAAAAACCATCCTAATCTACCATATCAAGGAAAAATCACCTAGCATTCCGTAAAACCACCTACTTTGCCGAGAATATCAAATTAGGCACATAAAAGAGTCACTCTGTATTTCCATCCTAATACTGAATAATACCCAGTTCATTTCCGATGGATTCAACATTTACAACATATACTCCATCGAAAAAATCTTGAGAATACTCAGTCAGTTACAACAACAATAAGTAAAATATATACTGCGACAATGGTAAAATTGAGAACAAGTGTTAGTTCAGTTTTAAGGTTATTATTATTAGTCCCTTGGGTTCCTAGTGGAACATAGGGCTTCAGTAGCACGTCTCCATTCCACTCTATTCTCTGAGATCTTTTGAACCTGGTTCCACGACAGCCCAGAAGCTCTCATTTCCTCCTCGCACGACCTCCTCCATGTCACCCTCGGACGTCCAACTCGTCGCTTCCCATGGGGATTCCACTCGAGGGCCTGATGAGTGATGTCCCCAGTCGGCCTTCTCAGTGCATGCCCAATTAATCTCCAGGCTGGTATTCAATATGGACTGACATCAACTGGAGAAGCATTGGAAGCACTGGATAGCTGTTTCATCGTCGTATGGGACTCAGGAGTGCTTATCCATGACCCCACCAGGAAGCGGACCAAGGACCTTCAGGTTCTATAGCCAGCACGTTACCATTGAGCCACTGTGTCGGAATCCAATAATTCATCTTTCCTACTTCTCTCAGATAACGATTTAGCGCGACTTCCATCCAATATCGTCGTTGAGTAACTGTCTTCATGTTCGATTTGGCTGGCCTGAGTCGTCACAAATGACGTCAGTTCCGATGAATATCAGCCTGAAACTAATAAATCTCCACACCCTCAAAAGGGAATTAATCTAGTGCTCATTGGTGACTAGTTTTGAGAGGTGATTCCTAAAGTTCCAGTGAGAAGTCGTGACCGGTGGGGCATACCTGGTAGCCGTGAGGACCAATACTCAACGATGACACTGAGTGATGGTCACGCGATGTCGTGAACTGACAGAAGTAGGAAATATGGATTACTAGATTCTGAAACAGTGGCGCAATGGTAACGTCCTGGCTGGGGAACTTGAAGGTCCTGGGTGTGCACTCCTGAGGAGTCCCATAATATGACGAAACAACTGCCTATTGCTCCCAGGTTTCCAATGTTTCCTCAACTGATGTCAGTTCATGACGAATACCAACCTGAAAACAGCGTTAGATCAGTGCATATGTCAATTTCCAAAATTCACTATTCTGAGCATACATTGGTAATCCAGTTTAAGGTAAAACTAAGAAGTAAATGGTGATGACGTCCCCTAGCTCGGCAATGAAACGTCGAAGAAAAAACCTAAAAGCTCAGAGAACACCGAACAAGTATTATCTCTATCCTTACAAAGAAATCTTTTTTGCATAGTCAAAAATGTGTAAAAACACCGAATTTACATTTGAAATGAAACGTCATTCAATAACCAAACACAATTTATGTACAGTGGCATGCTCCACAGTTCTTGAGGGAGGCCCTAATGATTAGAAATTTGTTGAATAGACTGGTGTTTGAATGAGTGACCTATTACTTGAAAGTCAGGTATCCACAGTCAGTGGGTTATAGTCCCAACTATTCTTATAACCAAAAAAACTGTTGAATACATAAAGATAACAATAATCAATCATATCTTCTAAAAGCGTAAAAACTTCATAAGATATGTATGTATGCGTTAACTTAACACTGTAAAAATATTTACAAACAATGTTCAAAGATAAAGGCTAGCAGCGAAAACGATATCCCGTTTAATTTTCTCAATAGCTAAAAGAGAAAATAAAACAACAGAAATACAGATTAATTCCTTTCACCAGAGGTATGGTAGAAGATGGAAAAGCTAAATCTCATAAAGAAAAAGGCAATTTACACCAGTAAAATGCAGAAACTACAACTGATGCTTTGGAGTAACTTTAACCTCAATATCATATTAATTACAATTATTTTCTTGAACAGCTAAGTGAATTCTTTCCTCTGTAATTCTCATAACCCTCGGAGTCGTTTACAAGGAAAAATGCTAAGCAAAGAGATTCAAACAATTCTTCAGCTTTCATTTAAAACAACAGAAATTGATAAAAGGAAAGTCCTCAATTTATAATTTCAGTACACAATCAATGGAAATATTATCGTTTCTGTCATATTCAATCATTAGTGTATATAAGCTATCAATTTTAACTAGCCTCCGAACGAGTCGACTAAATGAAGGAAAGCAATTAACCAATATAAAATATTGCACTGTGACACACGAACAGAGAACAGGTGGCTTTATTGATTTTCTCAGTCAGTTGATGATGAATAAGTAGTAGTGAATGTCACAATTCATTAACAATAGTAATTATAAATTGAATTTACAGAGTACGATTGCAAAACACTCGACACCGATTTATGCAGAATAACTAGTGATTATTAAAAAGGTCACTCTGGTAACGATTGAAACAGTCAATCAGGTTTTTTTTTATGTTATAAGGCAAATTTGTATAAAATAACGAAGTACAATTTTTATTTCCCTTGTTACTAGGGTGACAAGTTTTGAACATTTTACTAAAAGTGAAGTTCATATATATAGCAGTATCACTTTTAAAAAATTAGACAATTAGAGGATGGATATTTACTCACCTTCAATAAATTTCTTTTCTAAAACATTGCTACCAATTGTTCTAGCTGCATTAGCCATTTGCCGCAGCAATTCTTCAAGCAATCTTAAAGTACGAATAATTGTTCCTTCAAATAAATCTGTCATAGAACAAATACTAGCAAATGATGCGCCTCGTGACCAGGCATCCACAAGATCCATTAGGTGAGGTTTAAATGAATCCACGTAATTATCCTCATCAATAGGGAGGCGACATTCATTACTGATACGTGCAATACGTCTAGCTGTATCCTACGATTAAGTGTGTAGTTAAATCGATAAAATTAAGAGATGGAAATCTAGACTCAGTGAAATAAAAACATGAAGTTAAATAAACGTCCTATGTAATGCAAAATCAACGTGAGTTTAAAATCAATAGGAAATTAGTCTTTGGGAAACATTCTAGATAACAAAAAGGACCGTTCATGTGCTACAAACTAATGGGCTTCTAGATTGTCAGAGCTTAATCGTGAGGATGTTTTCAGTTTAAAGTAAAAGGATACCATAATATAACAAGGGATGATTGATTCTCATAGATTTGAACTAAGACTAAAAACAAAAACAAGCTCCAAATAAAAGCTACGGAGAGATGCCGAGAACAGTTAGATAATGATCAATAGCTTCGTCACGCTGTTGTAATCTTTATGACTCTAATTAAAATATGTTTTAAAGTCACACAAGATCATATTTTTGGGACTGAAATTTTGACACAGTCAAAACCTTATCCCACTAGATAGAATTGAATATTAACTGCCCCAAAGAATGTCAGTAGTATCAACAGGTCACAAATGGGTATAATGCAAACACATCGTCTGTTTGACTATTCAGTAAGACAATATCAGTTGATTTATGTTGTCAAGAAAATAGAAAGCAGTAAGAGAATTCAGTGGATGAATTACTCGTATATATATATATATATATATATATATATATATATATATATATATCATATATCGCAAATTTAGCAAGCTCTTCTTCTTGATAACCCCGACAGCTTAACTAGTTCACTATTTACTGGCCCGTCCAAAGCCCGGATAAAGAGGGAAGGTTGGGTATAGGGCTAGCAATCCTACCCCGGAAAACCAATCCAATCGCTAAAGAAACTCCAAAGCACAAAAGAAATATCAAAAATAAAAACAAACTTATTCCTCGCTGGAGTTGGAGAGATGTAATGACACCGGTTGGTGAAAACCTTCGTGAAACCAGTCCCCGATGTGTCTCCTATCAAAAAAAGTGAAATAAGGATGGGGACATGGAATGTACGCAACGTGTAGGAACCTAGTAAGGCTGAACAGATTGCCAAAAAAATGAGCAGGCATGACAAGGAAATACTAGGAATCTGTGAAAGCAGATGGAATGCAAGTCAACACTCTAAACTTACAACTAGAAAGTAAATAATCTACTCCTATATTGTCACCCTGATGACGACCACGGGCACTCTGAGTTTTGCAGTGGCTATCATCATGTCCCCAACAGCATCGAAGACTCTCTCTCATACAGTGGGAACCAATCTCCTCCACAATCAGGATCATCACAACAACATTCAACTCAAAAGGAAGGAAGGTCACAATCATTCAATGCTACGCTACGCACCTACAAATAATACAGATGAAGAGAAGAAGGAGAAATTCTACAGACAACTGCAACCAGTAATAGAGAAAACCCCACCCCAGATGGCAACATCAAAATTCATTCTAATAGGTGACATGAATGTCAAACTAGGAGCAGACAACACACAAAGAGAACTCATCATGGGTCTAGAGGCACTCAGTGAAATGATGAATGAGAATGGTTGACTCTTTGCCGACTTCTGCGCATCAAATGATTTAGTGATTGGTGGCACTGTATACAAACACAAGGATACTCACAAAGCAACATGGATTTCACCAGACACCAGGACACACTGAAAATCAGATCGACTTCGTCTCAGTCTCAAGAAAGTGGAGACGCAACCCACTGAGCACAAGATCAGATAAAGAAGAGGAGCAGATGTGGGTTCACGCCACTCACCATCTAGTGCAAGCAACCTACCTACCTTCCAAATCAAGTTGAAAGTCTTCAAAGAACCTGGTGGTAAACCACAGTTCAAGTTCAACACACAGAACAGAAACTCAGCTGAAGGATGAAACAACAAACGACATCTTCACGTCAGCCAGCCATCAGAACAAAATGGGAGACATTGAGCAACATCCCTGAAGGATTGGGCGTGGAAGAACACTGGAACTCTTTGAAAGAGACGTGGAAGGAAACCTCCGTAACCGTATTAGGAAGGAAAAGGAAACAGGACAAGGAATGGATCTCCACGGACATATGGAAGCTGATAGAGGAGGAAGAGGAAGATGGTGAAGCAGAAGATGGACCAGTGAAGTGTAGTCCAGGGGTGAACAACGGAAAGATGAACTGAACACAATGCATAAAACACTACACTGGTCAAAAAAGTGAAGAAGAGTGCGCGCAAAGACAAAAGACACTTCTACGACACACTAGCAAGTGAAGCAGAACAGGCTGCTGGTAGGAGAGACCCGACAACACTATATCAAATTCAAATAACCAGGTTACTTACTGTCTGTGAAGAGATCAACATAGATGAAACTAGTGAAATATAATGAAGGAAACCTAGTTACCGCCAAAGAGGAGGAACGAAGGAAACGATGGGTTGACCGATTTCAAAAACTCTTGGATCGACCACCACTACCACCTGCAACTCATCCAGAAATACCACCAGCAGCCGAGCCACAGAACTATCAGTGAACAGAAACCCCCAGACAAATGTAGAAGTGAAGTCCTGAAAGTCATAAAGTTGCTGGAATCCGGGAAGGCAGCAGGACTAGATGGAATTCCTCCAGAAGCACTGAAAACACGCAGAGACAACAGAGGACATGCTCATACCACTGCTGCAGAAGTTTTGGAAGGGAAACAGGAGAGGTACCTGCCGAGTGGGAGAAGGGCTACCTTGTCAAATTCATGAAGATGGGGGATCTAAGCCTTTGCAAGGACTGACGAGGAATCATGCTGCTGTCCACCGCAAGCAAAATATTAAGCCGCATCATCCTAGAGAGACTGAAAGATGCTCTGGATTCAAAATCTTGACCGGAACGGGCTGGCTGGCTGGCTGACTGGCTGGCTTCAGGAAAAGCAAGTCATGTGCGGATCAAATTGCAACGCTGCACATCATCATAGAACAGAGTATCGAATGGCAGTCAACTTTCTACGTCAACTTTATCCACTCTGAAAATCTCTTTGAATACGTCGACCAAGAACTAATTTGGAAGTTGCTTCGACACCACAGTTTTAGTGCCGCAAATCTTTATCAACCTCATTCAACAGCTACATGACGACGACACATGCAAAGTGGCGCCTTAGAAGTGGAGACTGGAGCAACACAAGGTTGTCGTCTACTATCACCTATGATCTTCCTGACTGTGGTCGACCGGATTGGACTGGATCATGCAACAAACTGTGAAGAGCGAGAAGATGGGCATACACTGGCTGGACCGATGAAAAGAGCCTAGAAGATTTGGATTTCGTCGATGACTTATGTCTAATGTCTTGTGGCACGAACTCGAAGATCTACAGGCAAAAATTAACAAGTTGGCGGGAGAGGTGAGGCAGCGAAGGAAGACGGGACTTCACGTGAGCGTGGAGAAAACAGGGGTGATGTAGATACTCAACTAACAACAATATCAAGTAGCCATCACCATCAACGGAGAAATCCGAAGGAAATGGTCTCTTTCATCTACACCTACCTAGGCAGCATCGTCTCAACTACAGGCGGCGGCACACACGAGGATGTCAAAACCAAGATCGGAAAAGCAAAACTGCTTTCATTAAGCTCAATTCAGTGTGCAGATCTACTGCACTGCACTTAGCATAAAGAACTAGATCCGGATTTTCAACACCAATGTCACGTCAGTGCTGCTATATGGTTCAGAAATTCGGCGTATCACAAAAAGCACTTCCAACAAACTACAGACATACGTCAATGGCTGCCGCCTACGCTCACTCGATACTGAAGATCAGATGGCCAGAATAGTAAGAATAAGCAATAAGGAACTGTGGCTGGCTGGCTGGCAACGAACCAACCAAGAACCTATCACCCAACAAATATACAGAAGAAAGTCGAGATGGATTCGATTGGACATACACTGAGAAGACCGACCGGGGACATCACGCGCCAGGCCAGGCCCTCGACTGGAGCCCAAAGAGGAAACGACGAGTTGGGTGTCCGAGGGTGACATGAAGGAGATGGTGTGAGGAAGAAATGAAAGCTTGTGGGCAGTCATCGTGCCAGGTTCAAAAGACTATAGAGGAGAGAGTGAAATGGCGACGTGATACTGAAGCCCTAATGTGCCACTAGGAACTCAAGGGAAAGAAAAATAATGATACTACTTTTCTTGATAAAGTGTTAGGATGTGTGTATTTTACGAGACAATGATACATTTCGACGGAAGAAAACTTCCTTAATCCATTGTTTAACCAACTCCACAGAGGTGGTTTAAAACTGAGAAAAATTAATTCAATCAGTGAGTAAAAATTACGTTTACATTTCGGTTGTCTATATGAGATAATTACGCTTTCACACATAACAAAGTAAGTAGCACAATAAAAGCGACAAAAATTAGTATGAAAGTAGCATCACTTAAAATGACAAAGAGAAACGCAGATAGATAGGGAGTGAACACATTAAAAAGAGAAATTCAGTTTTACAATGTGTTGTAGAAGGGTCATTTGTCTTTGTGCACACTCTCCTTCACTTCTTTGCCCAGTGTTTTCTACGTTGCACTCAGTTCCTCTACTCGTTATGCATCCTTAAACTGATTCATTCTCTGCCTCACCATCTTCCTCTCGTTGATCAGCTTACACGTATAAGTCGACATCCATACCTTCTGTTCTTTCCTCTTTCTAGTATCCAAGCATCGATGCAAGATATCACTAATTAAAAAGACGTAGCTGCTAGGTACGGAGTGTCTGGAAATCAGAGGCAGTGCCGTCAGGCTGGTGTACTTCTATAATCACCCCAGTCTGAAAGCAAGAAGGAAATCCTCCTGTGACTAATATGTCCAAATTTCCTGACCTGGAGGCGGCATTTGACTCTCTCGACCGTGAGGTATTGTGCCAGTGTCTAACTGTGATGGGAGTAAATTGTACAAAAGTGTACATCACAGGAGCTAATTCTTGAGGAACAGACATCCACAGCAATTTGATAAACTGTAAAAAGAGTTCATAATAATCACCCAATAGCTGAGAAACAGAATTAGATCGATGAATATACACATTAGCATACTTCTGTCGATAACTGCTTCTCATGAAGATACTGCCTTAGCCTTAACGTTAATAGGGGTCTATAGAAAAAGGGATCAAATTACAGTCCTTGAGTTTAGGAACTCGAAGACGATGCAGAGAAATTATTACGTATTGATTTCATTTCAAGAACAACTTCCAGTCAATCCAATAAAATCTATCCCTCGATAACAGCACTCGGACAAATGAATTCAAGATTTCAGAGTGTGACTTCCTATAGAAATTCAGGTCAACCTTGAAGAGTACGAAATCCGTGTCTGCGGTATCTTGCATTCAAATAATGTGAAAATATACACTGAGAACACTGAAGATGAGACGCACAAGTAGTGAAATATAAGATTACTTACCTGTAATGTGCGCAAAGCATCTGATAATTCTTTGGTTAGTTTAGGCATTTCAGAAGATCTCTCTTGAAACACAAAACACGAAAGAAGTGCTGCAGTATGTTCTGATGATAATCGATTGAAAATTCCATCGAATAAAAGTTCTGTTAACAATAGTTCATCTGCTGATGTAATCTCACAGGCTACACAGCCTTTTAATTCGATTACGTCATGTTCAGAAACAAAATTTAACCGTCGTAAAACACGTTTACGCGCAGATAATTCTTCCAGTTGAATTAATGAAATTTTGCTGTTAAGATTAGCAGTAAGAATATCAATACGTTTACGAAGCTGTTCTTTCTTAGTATAGTTTTTCAGAAGTTCTGAAAGACGGGGATCATCATGCAACCAATGATGTTGTAAACGTTCTTGAAAGGCGTTTACTTTCTGCAAAGATAAAAGTAAAGGATAAAAACTTGAGTTGGGAACAAAATTATGCGCAAATAGCAGTTTAAGGAAAGTGTATGGTGGAGGGAAAAACAAAGAATGAAGTAAACTTACTTCAAAGTTGTATTTTATTACGAATTAAAAATAGTGCAACCAAAATACAGCCGGATTCTTCTATTTTAAGTTATGACCATCTGTTAGGAAATAAAAACTGACCTGAAAAACAATTATTTTCAATAAGATGCCTTTCGAAACCTTAAACCTAAGTGAAACTTTAAATCTAAAAAAAAACTCGCTCCATAGCTGCCTAGTTAACAATGTCACATGTAAAACTTATGAACATTAATAAACGTTCACTCTCATTAAAATGTTTAAAGTTAAAAAAAGTCTTTTCAGTTTCCCTCATTTTGCTTTACTTGTTAGAGGTTGGATTGGAGAACAGACTTAAGCGGCTAGTGATCATTTTTTGAATTGAAGTCTCAGAGTTCAGTACGGAATCGTATCGTACGAGTGAATAGATACTACTACAAATTGCACTGGTAATGAATAACAGTAGAAAATGTCATAATGCAACACTTTAAGATATAATTATCATTAACTAGGACATAACTGGATTTTTCACAGTATTTCTATCAAGTGCCAAAACATGTCATCACAGAAGTGTGTACTACACTGTTCTTAAAAGAACAACTCAAACCCAATGAACTTTGGCTCAACCACTTTTGATATAAAGTTTACAAGGAAACTGTAAACACACTGAACGCATTTAGTATATGAATATAATTTACACTGGTGAATAAACAGTTGTTTCCTGATATCATATAGTTTAATGCCTCCGGAGATTTCTAGCTTTTTAAATACAAAATATTCTGTTGGATGGTTTGTAAGGAATGCCCTATAGCACAATGCTAGCTGAAGTAGTTTCAGGCTGGGGGAAAGTTAGAATGCCCAGGCTAAAACAGCAGTCCATGAAGTCTTCGACTATCGGTGATGTAGGCTTCCCGGTTGGAGTGTGCGTGAAAACTGAGATCTGTGTTAGGACACTAGCTGATACGACTGGAACAGAACAACATCACTTATTCGCAAGAAGCTTCCAGTCATCTGTAATCAGTCAGGCATACTTACCGACGCCCGACACCAGCTATATTTCTCGACTTAAAAGGGAGATTTGACCTCTTCGATTGAGAGGTTTTTTTGCCTTTCTCAACGGAAGAGGCGCTGAGTAAGCACATCACTCCATTGAAGTCTTCACTCAAACAATCGTGGGCGTGTAAGAGTCTATGGTGGGTTGTGTATGTCAAGTGGCGCCCATAAAGCCTGTTCACACTCGCCATTCCTATTTATCACAGACGAACTTACGGAGGTCTCTCTCTCGCTTTTATTCAACTTCATAGGGATGATCTCATCTCAGGAGAATCCTTGGTAGATCGAGAGTACGCAGATAACATAAACCAGTCAGATGAAGACCCTGAAAAATGCAGTCTTCTACAAACCTTGAAAAGCGATCTGAGAATGTTTCGGGTGCGCTTCACACCATCTAAGTGAAAATTGTTGCTCAAGAACCAGAAGTGGTCTTCAATGCTACTCTGTCTGACGATAGGGAGTGAAATAGTATTTCTTTTATTCCTCTTCCTCATTTTTACTGCTGTCTATTGCTTCTAACCGACTCTTTTGTATCTATCATCTTCCATCTTAGTGCTTTCTAGTACGACGTGCTGAAATCAAGTGTGACAACTTGAACCATTAAGCAGTTATGTCTTTTTTATTTGCTGATGCTCTTTTCAGACTTTCTGTTACTTTTAACTGCTTCAGTTTTTCCCTAACTTCGATCCTGATGCATTGTCACTTAATATGCCGATAAGAGGTATAAGAACTTAGCTAGTTACACAGTAACCCCAGGTCCCATGCTGATATAAAATGGCAGTCTGGTCATAGGAATACAACAGAATAAAAATGATTAAAATGCACCTCTATCCACAACTTTTCACACTTACCTCATTCACTTCCAAAAATCGGGAATCATTAATATGCATATCTGCAATGGGATCTAGAATTGGTAAACTTCCACCCATACGAGTTTTGGCCTTCTCTATTGCATTCAAAACTCCTTGTTTAGCTTCCTTTGAACGGAGATCATTCGGAACAACCAGCCGTACAGCACTGATACCGACAACACAATCCAATCGGATTGGTATAATCTCAGCCAGTGGTTGTGTCTCACCACTAGTAGCGCCTGTCGAATCCGAACTTTCTGAATCCGTTACGGTACCAGTTTTAGCAACACCAGAATCGTCTATATCAGATTTACAGGGGTTAGCATATAACAAGCAGTCCAGTATATAAAATGACTCGGGCGCAGATGATCGGTCCTTACGCTGACGTTTCTTTAGACTGATTACCGCTCCCCATCCATAAGAAACTGATTCAACACAACCTGTAATGTGGAAGATTGAGTTGAATAACAGTATTAAAAAGATTAGTGAACTGAACATACAGATGAAAGCATGAATAAAAGAAAAGTAATATCCATTCACAAACGACGTTGAAACAGATGATCAAAACTCACAGACAGTCCGAGCGAATTAAGATGGAGCAGACATTCGTTTTCTGAGGTCCTACAATACCAGATATTTCTCTTAAAAAACAAAAGAGTTACCGTTACGGCGTTAATAAATCCACAATGCAGAGGGTTCCAAGGTTAAGTAGAACTGTTTAATGAATTGGAGTGGGTTAGCAGGAAGGTGCTTTCACCGTACAGCAAGTAATATCATGCTCATGCTACATTATCTAATTTAAAAAGCGGAGATACAAAAGGTGAAATCAGGAGATAGCAAACTTCTCCCTTCACAACAGAATCTCAGGGAAGGCGGAATAACTTTATAGAAGAATTTAGGAAAATCAAACTAAAATCTCGAACTTCCGAAAACGTCATGCATGTCTCACCATAACCAAATGTCTCTTCATCTCTGCAGTCACGCTTTATCAATATTAGCTCAATGTACTTACCACCTACCTTAAGAAAAAACTACCTTTCACAGGATGGACAACTGGGAAGTCTAAACAACCCTCACAACTTGCTCATCACTCAAGTTTCCTCAGATCACTACCAACCTTCCACACTACATACCTTAGAATCATTCATGTCTCTCAAGCAATATTCCTACTTCATTTTTAGTTTTCGCTAGCCCTGAAGCTCTCGATAACGATTTAGCTTCATGGAACAGCATCTTCGGCCTACTGTAACAGAGCTCCAAACTGCACATTGAAGCTTTCAACGTCCGCAACATTCGATAAATCGGACTACAAGCTTCGCTAACGAAAACTCTAGCATCATCTCGGGTCATGTATGTGTGCTGTGTTTTTGAGACACGCATACAGGACCCAGGTGTGGCTATCCACTTAACCCCATCCAACCAAAGAGGTGAATTTGCGAAATTCGCTCTTCGTCTTTCTGAGATTCAATCGCCAGTCCTCGTGATCTTCTTACAAATGTTAGCATAGCGTCAAGTTTCAAAGCGGAAGGTGCACTGCACTGCTCGACTGGTTTCCAGTTGACAGTTACCTGTGCACTACAGAACGAAATAGAAGAGGAGAGACTATGACGAATACCAACGCACGACAACAATTTGTTTTGATCTCTGCCTATACACCCACTGGTAGCAGTTCAGATGAAGTAGAAGATGAATCGAAAATAACAGAAAGACAGACACAGACAAAACCAACGTAGAATCTCGCATAGAAGTGCAACACATGTTGAGGTCAGCTTTATTGTTGAAGGTTCACAATATGATCGATTGACTCCTCAAGTCTCATAGCCATCTAATAGTATATAACGAACTGCAGCGTAGTATCTTCGACATTTAGTAGGTACTTGAATATCTTGCTGGTGCCAGAGATGGCCTACATTGGCGAATGTCATTGAGACTTCGTAAACAAGCAACGAATTTATGTTGAAGCAACATCCCAATCAAGTCAATCGGTTAGTGCATTCTACCGCTTCACTATTTATCAATAAACTCAGTTTTAGTTCAAGTCAGTTTTGAAATATCTTACATTTGATATAGGCAAAACGCATGCTAAATACACTCCCATTCCTTGATATCTTTGATATGATAATGATGATATTAAGTGTAGCAATTGAAACTGTCATACATTAATGCTGGATTCCATAGGGATCCTCATCGTCTAACACCCTGTTAGTTGTGAAATTGGTAGTGCAGTTTTAGGAAACTGGGAATAGTGTTTTTCTGACTCGGATCATTGGTGATAGTTACAAGGAGAGGTTGATAAGGTTGCATGAGGCTCAATAAAAATACCAAAAGTGAAGGCAAGGTGAACAACAAAGGTAAGGAAGGTAGGTTATGATTAGTTGCCTTCTGTATACTGCTGGAAATGTGAAGGTGGTTAGTACTTCACGGCTGCCCACACAATGGAAGTTGTTTCTGCAAGGTGTCAGCGAGAAATACCTAAAAGTATCTAACAACAAATGTAGGATGGAAGTAATTCGCATTATATAAACTAGGAAATTTGCAAGCAATAGGATGGGATTCAATTTTAAATTAAAAATTCGAGCAATACACAGCTTAGAAAACGTTTTCAGGTGTACGCTCCAATGTCAACAAGAATGACCTACTTGGATAGTATAGTATTTTGTTTGATCACCTTCCTCTTGCAGTATTTCCAGATGCATGAAAATAATAGACATGATGCACAGTCAAGAGCTAATTCTTATCTTCTGAAACTTTCGCCATACAGTAAAGTATAAGGTTATAGAGAAGACAGTCACTGTTAGAAAGTAATTGGAGTATTTTAGCATTGCTATTTGCTTTTTCAACTTACTTGGCCACCCCTACTATGACATGCCCTAATTAGTGGAATTCGGTTATTGAGTTAAAGAATAACTTGTGTTACCTACTGTTAACAAGTTCTTCAGTCAACAGTGAACGTGAAATAAAGCGATAAGACTAGCAAAAATTGAGGAATATTAACAATCATAGTTTTCTTTGATTAAACTTCCAACACATTAACTCACTTTAACAAGACGACCTGGTTGAAGAAATGGTACTATATACTGTGGACGTCTTATGTACTGCCATTGTTGCCAAACCAGTTCATTTAAACATGAGTGAATTTGATGATAGGATTCAACGGACTCTTCGTCTTCAACAATAGTTGACGCATAAGTTGTACGTAACTCGCTTAATTCTAAATAGAAGTGAGGCAGACTTAAGTTAAAATTATTTGTGTAAAATATAAATTTTGTCTTCGATTTGAAAACTATACTGTATGCTTAAACATTCTCTTTAAAGCAATCACTAAAATAGAATTAACGAAAAACAAACTACTGAAAGCTATGGGATTCTATGATAACTTCAAAGATGTGTATGCCCGCCTGTTCGCAAATGCGACAGAATATAGGATGTAGGTTAAGCTTGTATCAACCGAAGCATGCTTAAAATCAGATAAAGATATTTTTGAATCACACAAATGCGGTTAAAAAAGCGTACTCAACTTTCTTGTCCGATAGGCATTCAATACTCCTAAAACAATTGAGTCAGGCCCTGATCGAAGTTCATTAAAAGCAGGCAGTTTATTGCCTGCAAGGCTTGTTTCTCAATGTTCTATTCAACCAGGTTGTCCAAAGGTCGGACGTAATGACAGTAGCTACTGTTTCGAAGTGGAAAAATGATACTATAAGGGAAATTGATGCATGAAACTATACCTCTGGCAAAAATTCAGTGTAGATGGGAAACCATTTTCCCTTACGTGACCAATACTTACAACGGTGTGGTTGATGGATGTAAGGAGGCGGGGAATGAGATAGATTGATCCTCGGAACTTCTAATCTCTGCACGAACCTCTTAATCCATCTAGTAGATACGTATCTTCTGCAGGTAAGCAATAGTTCCATCATGAATAAACGCCATAAGTTAATGGACTTTATGAAAAGTGGTTTACTGGGTCAAATCAAATAGATCTTGGTGACAGACAATACTATGATTCAGCAAATATTCCTTCTCAGTGCAATGAAATAACTTGAAACTGACTAACTAACAGTCATTTGGAAAAACACGATCATACATGAAACCGTACAGCCAGCCCGATACAACGAATTACACAAACCTTATATGAACACAATAATTGAAAATAAACACTTGTGCATAAATATTTCTCGAATCAGTAATTACACCGAGAAAAATCCCTTCTCTAAAAGAAATTAAATCAAAATATTATTGCATTAATAATTCAACCGGAAATCCGGTGGTGGTGGGTTTGAATCCTCCCGCAGCCCAAATTTTCATTTCACCTTGAATCACCCAATATCAATAGCTATGTAAGCTAGATTTCAGTGAAAATATTAGTGCCAATAAATCAAACAGCGCAAAAATTGCAGAAATATAAATTGTTTCACGATGGCATATTTTACAACCCAGGTCAATAAAACCCATGAATAAGATATATTAAAACCCTTAAAACCCATGAAGACGAACAGATGGTAAAAATGAAGGATTATTTGAAAGTATAGTGAGAAACTATCTGAGCTATTGCTGTTGTCGACATACGACAGCGGTGAGAAAAGATAAGTCTTAATGAGAAATAAGAACAAACAGACTTAAAATATTGCGCCAAGCAACACAATTGTGAACTGAGAAATGTCGAGACATGCAGGTTATCAAGTCGGGGAATTCCAGGGATAAGTGCTTAGCGATTCTATGAAAGATGGCTTACAACTGACAAAAATGATAAAGATGAATTAAAGCCTTATCTTCTTTAAACTTTACTACAAAATAAAAAAAAACTACTTCCATTTCATGTTAGTGTTTACTTTTCCTGTACTTGCAAAGCTTAGTAAAGTAAGTCAAGAGTTTGAAATGAGGTTCTACTTTGTTACAACTGTAACTTAAGATCTCTAACGATGATACCTACTATCTTGAAGATGTAAGAAAGGTGACATACTTGTTTACATAAATATGATTAGAAGACTATGACTGCTATGTTTTACAACTCATTTTACCCTCACTAGCATAGAAAGTTCATCAGAATGTTGAATGATCATATTTACTCAATATACACAAACAACTGCGTACAATGATTGGGAAAAATGACATAACCATTAGTTTTTAATAAAGTGAATATTGTTGGAAGGTCCCAGATTTGCATAAAACATTGCTACAAATCTAAACATTCTTAAATTGTCGTTTTCGCGTAATTTTTTACGGCATGACCAGTAGTTCACTTTTGCCACCATTTTCAAGGTAACTCGCTGATTGGTTAATGCTCACTTTTACTGTGTTAATGTTTCATATTCTAAACAAGATTATATATATATATATATATATATATATATATATATATATATATATATATTGGTTACTTGACTATTCTTCTCAGATGAACAAATTCTCCTATCCAGTTCAGTCTCCTCGATTTCATCCGGGTTGGAAACGGTATATTTTACGTATGAAGTTATCTATCAGTCAAGCGTGAGTATTATGTCATCTCGGACTATATATCAATATAGAAACTTAATGTTTGTTGAGTTTTTCTTTAAATATTCAATTTAAACGCAAATGAGGAAATTCAACTGATAACAGTGATTTGGATAGTATTACTATGATCACTATTATTTTACATTCGTCTCAAAATACAGCTGGAAAGACATGATCAACTAGTGATCATACTCCATTAACATTGATATTCGCACAGGTATAAACAATATCCTACAAACTAGAATGTCGTAATTTCATTAGGAAAAACTAATCACCAAAGAGGATTACAGCACTACCCTTGATCACAATGTGGATGTTATGTGCAACTAGAATACCTTAGCAGTAAAAAAGCACCAAAAAATTCTGAATGAAATGCCTAAGGTACCCACTCTTTTGAGACCATTCACGCACTTTGCTGATGTATGACCAAGTGTGGATATTCTTGATAATTCCTTCTATATATTTCGCAAAGTCAAACCATCAACATATCGCTAATTGTAGATCGATACAAAACTTATACAATATGTTGGGATAAGAACCGTAGAGTAAATAGATTATTTTTAATTCAGTAAGCAAGAAAAATTTTGTAAACCATATATGGAAATTACAAATTTAAACAACGGATTCAAAAATCGGAAGTGAAAATATGGAAAATGCAGAGATAATCAGCCTACCTTTATACAAATCAGGAAGGCTGGAATAATTCTGAAATTGACAGAAACTTCTCTCCATCATGTATTCGGGATTAATTTCTTCTACACGTAATAAATTCAGCAACATATTGTAGGTAATGTGAAAAGCTGAGTTAAGTGGAGGTGGTGGACCCATCATAACTTGATGTGCTATTTCACTAGTCATGCTCTCATCGACCATTAGAATAACTGTGCCGCTGTCATCTTTACCACGACGACCAGCACGACCAGACATTTGTATGTATTCACCAGATGTTATCTATATAAAACAATAAAAAGAGTAATTAAATCAATAAAAAATGTAGGCATGTGTGAAATTTGTTTACATGACAAATCAACGATACTTGGACAGTCAACAGCTGCTGTTCACCATTCCCCTATATCCAATAACCATTCAGTTGATATCAAGTTACATTTTAAAAAATCAGTTTCAATTTTACTAGAAATCATAAGTTCCTGAAATTGAATAAATGAACATCATTCCCAGTATATTGAAGAAGCCAGACTCTAATCTTCAAAATAAAAAATAAATTAGCTTAAATGTGTGCGCAAACCATTTGAGAAGGGTTGCTAGGAAAAGCCCTAAGTGGTTTCAGAAACACAGTTGCTAGTAGTGCAATACATAAAGGTAACATGCACCCATAATCTTTTACGGCAGAACATATTGGAAACCAATCTGAGAACCGACAGAGAAACAGATGTCAGTCACGTGCAGTGCTAAACAACTCAGTAACAAGTTAAATTGTAGCAAAACATAGATGGAAGACTACAGAGATGTGAGAACAAAGATACCAGTAATGAAGAAAAAACAAAACTAAGCGTCTGGATACACCACATTTTAATCAAAATATACAGATAATAAGAAACAGAAATAATTGTACCGTCATTTTAATTCTAACACTTTGCGAACTTGGATGTCATAGCAGTTTGTCGTTTATCCAGCTGAAAAAGGTAGATGAAAATACTAAAAGACTTCGTTATTTAAAAAAGTTGAACTGCAGCACAATTCAGAGATTCGGGACGGAATTTTATAGTTAACAATTCGAAACGTACGATCCGAAATACAAAGTTTGCAACATATATTAAAGCGCTATGGAAAAATCCTGATAAATGAATCCTTGAATTAACTGAATCTTTAGTCATACAAAAATCTAAACCGCATCCACGCTAGGTAATAAGAAACAGTTTGAAATCACGATGAATCTGTTAAAGCGACTTCAGCCTTGGTGTAAAGGTCAATAACGGAAGTTGTTCTTAATTCACTAACTGCGAATTTTCCACTTTATACCGATTGGTTTCAGTTATGCTTATCTTTCACAAAACATTTTAAGAAGAAAATATATCTAACGCACGATCACTGAAATGCTATGCATTCATACATGTTTTTACAAATTCAGGTTATTCGGTAGTATATTTCGTTGGTTGGAGAACAGTATGCACCGTTCACTACACAGTTGGATGGTGAAAAAAGTTACTCACTAGTCAAAATTAGGAAGACGTTACAGATGGTCAGACTAAAACATTTCATCAATCCATGAAGTCTTTGAGTATTGGTGAGCTGTGTAAGGAAATACAGACTTCTGTATGACACCAAAAAAACAGTGGTTAGACACTCCAGAATCGATTTCAGTGATGCAGATATAGCCACACACTATCTTTATCTTGGTCATCACACAAAATTCGACAATTGTCTTACTCTTCTTTGTTCTCTTTTTACTGAGTAGCTAAGTGATAACGTCTCTGATTGCAGTAACGGGTGACGCAGGTTCGGACCTCATAGGGGACATCAGTTCGCTAGAGGTTGCATCTAATGCAACTTTGCCAACATACGCAATACCCGGCACCAGAAAGATCCAAGACCATTGACCAAAAGATGTTTATAGTGAAACGTCATTTGCCTTGTCCGATTGCACAGTTGTCAGAAACCATCATGGAAACTGGAAGACTAATGGAAGCTGCAGATTAAAAATTAAGGAAGTCCATTTAGTATTGCTGGTGTGTGGTAGAACCACCAAGTGAGCAACTTTCAAGCTAGGATAAGCTCTTTTCAATATCAGATGAAGGAATTTAAAAAAAGAAAATAAGCGGAAAGATGGAACCAAATAAACAGAATGGAAGCTGAGTCGATAGAATTTTCTACTGTATTCAATTCTAAATGTGAATAACTCACAATACCATGTTAGCCCCAAATAGCTTCAGATACATATAAACTATTCATGGCGTGTTCGAATAGTTTGATTCAATTCAATTCGTAACCAGATCAGGTAAAGGAATCATTTCTTTGGACGGCAGTAATTACTAACGTAACGCTCACTGAAACATTTTCAAGGACTTCGTCGAAAACATTAATTTCTATGTTGGTCCTCTGAAACACTATTAAGAACAGCTAATTTTCAGCCGCGCTTTCAGCACCCTGTTCATGTTAAATAATGTAATTTGCAGAGAAAGGGATGGAGTTGTAATGGGGTCACCTATTGGCCCTCAATTACCATACTGCGTTATAGTAAACTCAGAAAGCAGTTTTGCTATTGAGGATTAATAGTTTTTGCCTGCGTAACAAGTTTTTCGGTGATACTCATTATGCGTGACTCCTAAACTGATGTTGAAATAAAAGTTGAAAAGCTTAATTGTTAGTAACTAATCGCCGAAGATCGCATCACAATCTGTTGTAAACTCGAGATCTCACATGTAGGATTTCCTACTGTAAAGAAAAGACGGTTCTCTTTAGAGACTGGTTTATAAAAGGATGGAAAACACTGAGTAGAAGATATTTTAGTCATTCAATGTTGTCATTTACTAAGATCTGAAAATGAACTGGAAAACTTTGACATTCACTCTTGTGAAATAGTTATCCCTCCAGATTGATTGGGGAAAATTACCAACCAAATAATGCACTGAAAAAATCCCTGCAGTTCCGACTAAGGTTGTATTTACGAACGTTGATTTTAGAGTAATACAAGAGATCCTGAAAAACCCGGTTGACAACACTAAAGAACACCTTCTTCTCTGTGTAGCTTTAGGTCACCCGTAGTCAGTGTCTGATTTGGGAATATGTTAAAGATAAGCTACTGATTTAGAGCATATCAATACATACGTACTAGTTCACTTCCTTCTGAGGAGTTAGTTGCATAAGTCAAACACAGCGCTCATTTTTAAAACATATATTTGAACATTATAATGGATCACCAGTAAGCGAAGCATGTTAATTAACCAACATTTCAGTATTTGGACATGGGTTCGATTTTCGTCTTAAAGCTTCACCAAAATCCTCTTTAAAATTATGTACTCCGCTATACCCGATTTTTCAAAAGGAATAAGGCTTTGTAACTTGCACACGGTAAAAGCACTGGCAGTTTACCGATCCACACCCGAGTTGTGTATGCCGAAGAAATATGTTGAATCCTTCATTATGCTATGCTTTTAATCACATATTCGATTTCCCTGTTCTCATTATTATGAGTTATTTCAGGACTAACACTTTCCAGTAGAATCTATCTCCTTCAACTTTGTACCTGTCAAGTGGACACTAAACCACCTTACTTTACAGTTGGGGACAATATTCTCCTAGTGAAATTCCTAGCATCTGTGATCACTTTTATCAATTTGTAAATAATTAGGTAACCCTTTCAGGTTTCAATAACAACTTTGTCCTGCAGATGAAGACAACGTCGATAACGTAATAACAAACCCTAACGTTCAATAACTGATATGATTCCTCTTCAATGATAGTCGATTATTATCTGTGTGCAAAATATATAAATACAAATGTACAACTTTTGAGGATGATACTACTGACAGAAATTTCTTTAGCAAATTTTCTTTGCTATATGACTAAATGGGTATTTATAAAATGCTTCAGAAAGTTTAGTCTTAACAAATAAATCGCTCACATATAAGATATTACAATATACTAGTCCCTGTGGGATAGAAAATAATTAAAATAAACTAATTCCTACTCTGAAACGCACGGATTATTCATAGTTTCACTTAAAACCACTATCGTTATTTGCATCGAAAATTGATTTGCTCTACTTTTTAATTATGGTACAATTTACGTCAAGAACTTTTGACTGAATATCCAAAGTTGAGCAAATTTAAATAATCCTCAAGGTGAAAGATGACTACTTGATACCAAATTATGCTTCTGAAATATAGATGATGTAGTAGCGCTAAGTGTGAGCAGTAATTGATTATTTTTCCTTATGAGCTAGTAGTGAAATATAGGAACACGTATATTAAGCATGTGGAACTTAAGAGCTGAGCAAAATGCACATCTTGGACTACGCTACCAGCCACTACTAAACATAATCAAGATATGATGAAGGAATATATCAAGGCATTCATCCGATGAGAGATAACTGCCCGGAAAGTTTAAGTCAGTCAGCTCAGCAACTGGGAAAATAAAGGCGCACGTAATACATGAAGAAAACTTGACATTTCAGTCGCCGGGCGGTATCTGATCCAATAAATCCTATGCAAAAATAAGGTCTTCACCTTTCAAATGACCACACTACACATTTAAGTGATAGCCGCAATATCGACAATCAGACAAGCTAGTGAAAAACGGTTTAAATACTTTGCATATGATCAAATAACCCTTACAACACACTCTTATTCAATACATTACTTAACCTTGGGGAGAAATGTGAAACCGTAATCCATCGAACTTGGAGGACATATTTCTAATAAATAATTTGATTAGAGAAATCAAAGAAAAGGTATGGTGAAAATATGGCTTCCAGTGTCAATATGAAATTATGTTGAAATTTTCGATGAACACGGAACAAGATACACCTGCAAATCGGCCTATGTTGTCATGTCTCTAACTGACACAAAGAAATAAAATCAGCAGAGAGGACGAAGGCCAGGAAGAAAACATGGAAGAAAGTGGAGGTCGAATTGGACACATTTAAAATGACCTCCGGTGTTCTGAAATACATCTGTGATTGTCTCAGTAACAAAGATTTTTGTCATAATAGGAACTGCAGCAAATAAACCTACACTTCAACAGAAAATACAAAAGGGTTTAGAGTTCTGTCCTAAACTATCTTAAATTACTGTGTTTAGGTATATGATCACTGGACATAAAAGACAAGTCACGAAACTTTTTAACTACGTCATATGTTGGTATAGTTTCTTATTCAGAGACCTACACGTAACCTTAGTGTTGATCACCGGCAGTCCAATCAGATACAGGTTACATTAACCCTGGTAGTGATCAAATCAATGAACAATACTAGTGAAAAAGCATGCTTAAACCTAAACACTTCTGTTCCAATTCTTTTACCAGCAAGCTTCTTGAACTTGATGTATATGAGTTGGTCTACATGCTCCATATTTTACTTTCTATACAGACTAGATGTGCTAGCAGGATAATACGAACGAACTAACAAGCTGGCATTTTTCGGTTATGAGAAGAACAACAACTATTCTCAACTTTTCATTCACAATCTTCGAAGACAGGCTTCTGGTTCAATTTCCCCTGAAAAGCAACAATGTAATTACACAATTTCTTAACGACAAACACAACCGGACACACCAATTCCAAGTTGGTCAATATCTCAATATTAGGTAATCAAGCATATTTGCACGCTTCTGTTTAGAACAGTAGTCTATAAGACAAAGTTTGAGGACTACACTCATATAAAAAAAAACACCCTCCTGTGAGAAACAGCATTACTTCTGAATTGACATGATCCGTAGTTACTAAGTGAATATTGTTCAGATGTTACTAGGATGATTTAAGGTAACTAAGTACCATTTGTTAAGACAACCTTACAGTTGTTGTAGTATAAAAAATTTCCGTTGCGTATATAGAAGTAGTGGGAGCAAAATTAATTCATAAAGTACAACTAATATAATAAGAAGGTATATGATAAAGATGTAACAGTGGTTGTTTTATATTGACGTTATTTTTATACCCCAGAGAAGCAAGTCCGTTGTGAGATTAAAACGATAGTACCACCAAAAGATCTTTTAAGCAAAACTTTTAGAGGTATTGAAATCTATTACGCAGTGAAGCATCTTACAAAACGTCATTCAGCCCTGTATTGTGAGTGCAACCAAACTATGACTAAGAATGAAAATAGAAATTCACTCAGCAACAATTTCACGTTTGTGCAGTAGGCAATGAGTCACACCAGTTGAGTGGAAAGTTATGATACAACCTGATGACCCCGACCACGGTTAGTGGAGTGATTTTGAACCCATGACCCTCTTGGTTGAAAACTAAGTGCTTAAAACAACCGTCACAGCTCAGGTTCGATAAGTAGTGGTTATCTAAAACAAATTTGGACATACAATATTCAGACAGACGAAATAATGAAAACGTTCTACATACCCAACGATACGACTGGCCATCGTATTTACGGGCTGAAGTGAATAGGACTGTTCTAGCAGGCATATTTAAACCCATAGCAAACGTTTCTGTGGCGAAGAGGCACTAGAAGTGAAAAAAAAAACATGAAAAGCGATTTAGAAATACTCCCATTTATAATCATTCAGGGACCAATTCGTATGAGCAGTGAACTTCCGACAACTAACAACCTAGAACTTCAGTCACTCCACTTCAGTGACGGAATACACAAAGCAATAACATCACATTGAATAAAGCTACATCACATTCTGAAGCACACAATCAAAAAGACAGAAAAAGTAAGGGAGAACCTGCAGACTCGGTTGCGGCTGTCACACTTCACAGCATACAAAGAACGGGTGGACAGAATAAGAATGATATCAAAGTAGACAAAGTTGTGTGAGACAATAAAAAATTTGAAGATAACGGTCACTGTAAATATCCCAACATTAGATGTCAAGGAGTGAATGCATCTGCACCACTGTTACCGATTTTCAGTCATCTCACCAAGAGTTCTCAACCACTGATTCCTTTCGTCTCAAAGAACCCAACCAGGTAGTCTACACCTCCAAACACAGCTCAGACCAACAGTTAGGAACTTCATTGACTGGTGCTACCACTCTGAACCGTCTTTAAAACTAATCCAGCTTCTCCTAGCATGGTACGTCAATGTAAGCGGTGGATCGGCATGCGCAGTACATGTCTAAGCCATCTCAGTCTCTGAAGGTTCACAACCTCAAAATTCGACTTGTCTGTCCTGCCTAGTTCCCTTCGCCTGACCTCAACATTGCTCACATTGTGATCCCATCAAACGCGAGCAATCCTACGAATACACTTGTGATCAAAACTCTGCAACCACTTCATGTCTTCTACTTTTAACGGTCATCTCTCACAACCGTATAAGAGGACAGAACGAACTGCAGTGTAGCATACTCACCCTTTGATAGCTAGTCGAATATTTCGCAAGTCGGCACCACGGATGACGCAAGTTGTCAGATGCCAAACGAGCCTTATGTATCTGAATTGAGATTTCGTCAGAAACCAGCCCGTTCAGGTCGATGCAGCTCCCCAAATAGATGAAGTGGTGGTCACATTCCACCACTTCTCTCCCTATCATTAAAGTGGGAATAGTTGCAGATCAGTCCTGGAGCATCATCTTACATTTGACAAGTGTGAAACGCATGCCAAACGTATTCAGATTTCTGCTCAACGCGTTCACAAGACCCTGTCTGCATCTTGTCACCTAACCGGACAATATCATCTGAATGCTCTAAGTCAACCAAATGTCCTCCAGGTAGGGGAGCAGGCCAATCCCTGTGAAGTCAGACCCAACTAAGGTTCTGTCCATTAGTACGTCTATAATGAGGTTAAATAGGAACGGTGACAGTGGTTATCCCTGTTGGACACCACTAATTGTCGTCAACTCACGTGAAAACTCTCCATTGGCCCTTACACGGCCGCGTGAGTTCGAGTAGAGAGCATTGATAAGCATTACATACTTGTTCGGTACTCCTATCACAGTTAGACACTGGCACAATACCTCACGGTCGAGAGAGTCAAATGCCGCCTTCAGGTTAAGAAATATAGCAACTTACAGAATCCGGTAAGTGCGTCGGTGTTACAGGACACTTCGGAGGGTGAAAGTATGATGGATCCCGCTTGGTCGAGGTAACGAACCTGCCGGACGTTTTCGAGTTTGCTGCTCTCGAGCCTGGGTTAGGTGTCAGATATCTGTGGACGTAAGGATCTTGGACATAATATTAGTCAAACTGATGCTCCTACGGTTATCACCATGAAATTTCTCCCCTTTCTTATGAACTGAAATGAAGAAATCGGATAGTAATCAGTAAGGGGTCCATATGTATCGGGGGGGAAAGGACGATGAAAAGATTAATTAGAATAGCAGTGCGACTGACTAACTATTCTTTGGCTGCTCTACATCGATTCCGATCTGCATTAAGTGTTGAAGACCTCCAAATATTATGACACTAACGAGACTGCTTCATCTTAAATGCATTGCTTGTTTACGAAGTCTCAATGACATTCGCCAATGTAGGCCATCTCTGGCACCAGCAAGATATTCAAGTACCTACTAAATGTCGAAGATACTACGCTGCAGTTCGTTATATACTATTAGATGGCTATGAGACTTGAGGAGTCAATCGATCATATTGTGAACCTTCAACAATAAAGCTGACCTCAACATGTGTTGCACTTCTATGCGAGATTCTACGTTGGTTTTGTCTGTGTCTGTCTTTCTGTTATTTTCGATTCATCTTCTACTTCATCTGAACTGCTACCAGTGGGTGTATAGGCAGAGATCAAAACAAATTGTTGTCGTGCGTTGGTATTCGTCATAGTCTCTCCTCTTCTATTTCGTTCTGTAGTGCACAGGTAACTGTCAACTAGAAACCAGTCGAGCAGTGCAGTGCACCTTCTGCTTTGAAACTTGACGCTATGCTAACATTTGTAAGAAGATCACGAGGACTGGCGATTGAATCTCCAGAAAGACGAAGAGCGAATTTCGCAAATTCACCTCTTTGGTTGGATGGGGTTAAGTGGATAGCCACACCTGGGTCCTGTATGCGTGTCTCAAAAACACAGCACACATACATGACCCGAGATGATGCTAGAGTTTTCGTTAGCGAAGCTTGTAGTCCGATTTATCGAATGTTGCGGACGTTGAAAGCTTCAATGTGCAGTTTGGAGCTCTGTTACAGTAGGCCGAAGATGCTGTTCCATGAAGCTAAATCGTTATCGAGAGCTTCAGGGCTAGCGAAAACTAAAAATGAAGTAGGAATATTGCTTGAGAGACATGAATGATTCTAAGGTATGTAGTGTGGAAGGTTGGTAGTGATCTGAGGAAACTTGAGTGATGAGCAAGTTGTGAGGGTTGTTTAGACTTCCCAGTTGTCCATCCTGTGAAAGGTAGTTTTTTCTTAAGGTAGGTGGTAAGTACATTGAGCTAATATTGATAAAGCGTGACTGCAGAGATGAAGAGACATTTGGTTATGGTGAGACATGCATGACGTTTTCGGAAGTTCGAGATTTTAGTTTGATTTTCCTAAATTCTACTACGGAAAATAGGAAGCCGAAATTGTGATAACACTGATGCATTGGAAATAGTCTTCAGAAAAGCTATCTTAGGAATTAAAAAACTAACATTCGTGAGTAAGAAACTTATGTAGAAACATTACCCGAAGATTTTGTAAGATACAATGATCACTGATATCAGTAAGTAGGTGAGTTGAAATCGTCGATCCCACACACACATTGTTCCCCACCATGCTCACTTAGGATTTATGTTTGCTGATTCATATATATATATATATATATATATATATATATATATATATATATATATATATATATATATATATATATATAAAACAGAAGTATCGCTTCTTCAACTGAAATTTTGTAGCTGTTTTCAAATCTATGAGGTAATTACAGTTGTTCAATACTGAAATACGTACTTCCTCCAATATGATGTTGCATGTATGCCCGCCGTACGAGAAGTGGCTATCGTTACTCAGTGGCCTAATGGATAAGGCTCAGATGTTTTAAATGATCGGTCTCGGGTTCGGGTCTTAGTAGGAGTAACAGCGCTAACTGGGAGGTAGGTACTTTCAGCTGATTCCACTGTTACCCACTATCCTTCACGAGTACTTTACTAAAGTTCTATCCATATATTATATCAAGCACCTTTTTCCATTAATGGACTGTTAAAGAGATGGGTCTTAATTCATAGGAGATCTCTGATTATGAAAACCTACAATACAAATTTGTGGATGGAAGTGTCTGTTTGTAAACGGTAATAGAAACCACTTGAAATGATTCTAGTGGTGCCCCGAGCAACACCGTTCAAAGTGAACTTGTATCATCTCTGCTAGTATGCATGAGTTGAAAGACAGCGTTGCTGAAATCAGAAGCAGAACTGCACAACAGAGGAAGTAAGGAACGTAATAAGGCAATGATCATAAACCAATTTACTAAGTTGACTAATTTGCACAGTATTGGCATCTTATAAGAGTGCAATTACAAATATATGCAAATTAGAAAACATCCCAGTCAGTCGGAAATACTACATCATCACACAAATGAGAACCAGTTTATTGTTTGTCTCACCAAAGCTTTTCTGTCTCACCAACTAGTGTTAAATGTAAAATACTGAACGTGAGCATATATTTTCAATTCGGCAAAGATGAATTTAAGTGTGAACATTTGGAGAGCCTATATGGTTGAGACTGAATTAAAATGAAGCAAAATAAAAATTTTACGTATACAACCATGAACCACAGATTTATGGATTCGAACCCATTAAACATACTACTATCTGCGTTGTACAATAAATGAGACCACCAACCTACTTTATACTTACTTGTCTGTAGTCAGCTAGTAGCACTGCTAGTATGAAACACATAACAGTAAAATACATGCAAAATTCAGATTTCTACTGAAATTTATTAAAAAGCGATTTGCAAACACATTAACGACATGAAAAGAGAGCAAAAAAGGGCAAAAGCTTACTTTAATTAAATTCTCTGAAAACAATATTTCAATAGTCTCCTTTAGAAGAGGTAAAAGGCCTCCGTGGTGAATCCCAATACCATGCTTAAGTAAGGGTAGAAGACTTTCCACCTGAGGTAAAGAGCGATCTTCAGGTGAAAGGCTGTCTATAGCATTGCAGAATACTTCATCAACGACCTTTTTCTCAGCATCTATATACAATAAACGGTGGTTAACCTCAATCATAAAGTTTTTGTGAAACTTAAAACCAATAAGCAATAACAAAGTTGTTGAACATTCGAAAAAACGTTCAGCTGAGATTTACCTGAAACTTGGAAAACAACCGACATGACAGTATGGTGGGTTCGAAAAAGTAGAATTTCGCCACCTCACAGCCACACAAAAACTGTTGACCCGTGTAAAAGATCCTATGCATATGTTTAGTGTTTGAATTACACTGATCTTACGATCCCGCCTACCTCTAAAATGACTTGAAAGGGCTAAGCAGGGACAAAGTTTACTTTTTCCCCTGAAATATACTGTCCGGTGATAGAAAGCCTGAGATTTGATGATGTTTCACTCTCTTGTTGAAGTAACTTTTGAAATGAAAGCATTCGGATAGCTGTTTATGACAACAAACCGCTTCAATTTGAGTGCCCATAAAGTGCTGAGATAACCACAAAATATAGTATGTAGTTCAAAAATAAAAGTGGCGAAATTCTCATGGAAGTCCAACGCATCTATCTAGTGCGAATATCATAACATTTACTATCCTATTGTAATTTCGTGTGGTTGTTATTACTCCTTACTCGAACCTTGATTATTAGATTGGTCAGTAACTCATCGTTAGTTCATGTTCCCAACTGTCTCTATTGTATTATTGATGGATAGCGGATGGCAATGAAATCCAAAACGCGTGTTTTGTCCTATTTGGGACTCATCAGCTGTATATACCCACCGCAACGGATGCCAGTAGAGACCTAGTAGTTATAGGTCGAACAATGGCAATTAATTCGTGAGAAAATGGCAGCTAATTCCAAGATGGCATTAACTTTGGTACAGCCAACACTCACAGCGTATGGTGAAAGAGCTCAACTACTTCACTTCCCAGTGCTAGATGAGGGGACAACGCAGACCAAACCAGTCCTAGGATAACGCCAATCTATGTCAAGTCAGAAAACAACGAGAGAGACCTCCATAACCACATCAACGATAAAATTAAATAAGAGTGAAGAGAGTAGACATGCTTGACAGACACCACTCGATAAGCATAACTTACCTGGTACCACCATAGGCTGTGACTCCCATAAGTTTTCAAGTACAGAGCCATCAACAAGAAGGTGCACTAAAGCGATACAATTTCTTATGCAAGTCAATAAAGAATATGTGCATTATGAGGCAGAAACACTAATAATCATGTTATCAGAAACCTTAAGTTCCAAATCGTAAACAGACCTTTGTCAGGTTTACGATTACATCAAATTCAATAAGGCTCGACAGTTGAGCTACAAAAGATCTTACATACATCCACTTGGCCAATCAAGGGACATCGCTAGTTGAATAAACCTACCAGTCGTGAAATCAAATTTGGCTAGTTGAAGTGCATAAATTTCACATTCTTTTTTACTGAAGCTAAATACAATGATTGGCTCCAAACTCCGGTGTTTCACCAAACGAACGATTTGAATAACATTATTTTCGGAGCCTATAAAAATAGAAAGTTCAAGATGGTAACAATTAACTAGTGACTACGAAAATTTTTACACTGTCAATAAATTCATTCAAAAACAAGCAACAAAAGTCTCAAACTTGCCAAAAGGCTATGTGTGACCGCTTCCAAGCAGATGTCCAGTGAGGCCTGAGGTTGCACACTATCCATTCTCTTTCAGGTACTCCAAAAAGAACTAACCTTCCAAGGTGTGGGCAGCCACGAAGTGTCAACCGCCAATACACTTTCAGTGGTATACAAGACCTAATCAAACATAACCTATCCTCTTCAACCCTCACTTTCTCATACTAATACTCAGCCTCTTACGCCTTACCTAACCTCTCACCCTGCAACCATCACCAACGATCGAAGCCATCGAAACCTCATTCCTAGTCTACGAAGACCTCGCCATACAGAAACCTTCAACGTCCGAACTCTATGCCAAATCCGACAGCAAGCATAGATCGCCAAAACTCAGGAATCTCGAGCTATGTATATAGGCTGTCTCCGAGACACGTGTACAAGATCGGAACGTGGTTGTTAAATAAACCTCACCTGACCATAGTAGTGAGTCTTCAAAATCCACCTTAAGAGTAACCGGACACCCAGTGGCTAGCTGTCGTGGACTCGCTGGTGTAGCCATAGCATTAAATTGTGAAATAAAAACTGCGCTTCTCAACTGTATATCAGCCAGCAGTCATCTATGTGCAGTTCGACTGAGTGGATCCATAAGAAATAGAAAAAATTTTGAAACTTTCCGATACCTATACGTAATATTCTTTTACGCACCCAATGACTGTAATTCGTATAATGCGAAAGAAGAACAAACCTCGCAAAGACTACTAGTTCACTAGTTACTGGCCCGTCCAAAGCCCGCATAAAGAAGGAACGTTGGGTAAATGGGTAGCAACCCTACCGCAGAAAACCAATCCAATCGCTAAAGAAACTCCAAAGCACAAACGAAATATCAAAAATAAAAACAAACTTATTCCTCGCTGGAGTTGGAGAGATGTAATGACGACGGTTGGTGAAAACCTTCGCGAAACCAGTCCCCGATGTGTCTTCTCTTCTCTCGATGAAAGCAAATGTAAACACATAGATATGGAATGTCTGCACGATGTTTGAAGCTGGCTGGCAAGGCTACCCAGATTGCAAAAGAAATGAGAAGATATAGCACAGAAGTGCTAGAAATCTATGAGAGCAGATGGAATGGAAGTGGAGAGTCAATTATCTACTCGTGTCACCCAGACGACAATCAGGAGCACATTAAGTTTTGCAGTGGCTATCATCATGTCCCCAACAGCATCGAAGACTCTCTCTCATGCAGTGGGAACCAATCTCCTCCACAATCAGGATCATCACAACAACATTCAACTCAAAAGGAAGGAAGGTCACAATCATTCAATGCTACGCTACGCACCTACAAATAATACAGATGAAGAGAAGAAGGAGAAATTCTACAGACAACTGCAACCAGTAATAGAGAAAACCCCACCCCAGATGGCAACATCAAAATTCATTCTAATAGGTGACATGAATGTCAAACTAGGAGCAGACAACACACAAAGAGAACTCATCATGGGTCTAGAGGCACTCAGTGAAATGATGAATGAGAATGGTTGACTCTTTGCCGACTTCTGCGCATCAAATGATTTAGTGATTGGTGGCACTGTATACAAACACAAGGATACTCACAAAGCAACATGGATTTCACCAGACACCAGGACACACTGAAAATCAGATCGACTTCGTCTCAGTCTCAAGAAAGTGGAGACGCAACCCACTGAGCACAAGATCAGATAAAGAAGAGGAGCAGATGTGGGTTCACGCCACTCATCATCTAGTGCAAGCAACCTACCTACCTTCCAAATCAAGTTGAAAGTCTTCAAAGAACCTGGTGGTAAACCACAGTTCAAGTTCAACACACAGAACAGAAACTCAGCTGAAGGACAAAACAACAAACGACATCTTCACGTCAGCCAGCCATCAGAACAAAATGGGAGACATTGAGCAACATCCCTGAAGGATCGGGCGTGGAAGAACACTGGAACTCTTTGAAAGAGACGTGGAAGGAAACCTCCGTAACCGTATTAGGAAGGAAAAGGAAACAGGACAAGGAATGGATCTCCACGGACATATGGAAGCTGATAGAGGAGGAAGAGGAAGATGGTGAAGCAGAAGATGGACCAGTGAAGTGTAGTCCAGGGGTGAACAACGGAAAGATGAACTGAACACAATGCATAAAACACTACACTGGTCAAAAAAGTGAAGAAGAGTGCGCGCAAAGACAAAAGACACTTCTACGACACACTAGCAAGTGAAGCAGAACAGGCTGCTGGTAGGAGAGACCCGACAACACTATATCAAATTCAAATAACCAGGTTACTTACTGTCTGTGAAGAGATCAACATAGATGAAACTAGTGAAATATAATGAAGGAAACCTAGTTACCGCCAAAGAGGAGGAACGAAGGAAACGATGGGTTGACCGATTTCAAAAACTCTTGGATCGACCACCACTACCACCTGCAACTCATCCAGAAATACCACCAGCAGCCGAGCCACAGAACTATCAGTGAACAGAAACCCCCAGACAAATGTAGAAGTGAAGTCCTGAAAGTCATAAAGTTGCTGGAATCCGGGAAGGCAGCAGGACTAGATGGAATTCCTCCAGAAGCACTGAAAACACGCAGAGACAACAGAGGACATGCTCATACCACTGCTGCAGAAGTTTTGGAAGGGAAACAGGAGAGGTACCTGCCGAGTGGGAGAAGGGCTACCTTGTCAAATTCATGAAGATGGGGGATCTAAGCCTTTGCAAGAACTGACGAGGAATCATGCTGCTGTCCACCGCAAGCAAAATATTAAGCCGCATCATCCTAGAGAGACTGAAAGATGCTCTGGATTCAAAATCTTGACCGGAACGGGCTGGCTGGCTGGCTGACTGGCTGGCTTCAGGAAAAACAAGTCATGTGCGGATCAAATTGCAACGCTGCACATCATCATAGAACAGAGTATCGAATGGCAGTCAACTTTCTACGTCAACTTTATCCACTCTGAAAATCTCTTTGAATACGTCGACCAAGAACTAATTTGGAAGTTGCTTCGACACCACAGTTTTAGTGCCGCAAATCTTTATCAACCTCATTCAACAGCTACATGACGACGACACATGCAAAGTGGCGCCTTAGAAGTGGAGACTGGAGCAACACAAGGTTGTCGTCTACTATCACCTATGATCTTCCTGACTGTGGTCGACCGGATTGGACTGGATCATGCAACAAACTGTGAAGAGCGAGAAGATGGGCATACACTGGCTGGACCGATGAAAAGAGCCTAGAAGATTTGGATTTCGTCGATGACTTATGTCTAATGTCTTGTGGCACGAACTCGAAGATCTACAGGCAAAAATTAACAAGTTGGCGGGAGAGGTGAGGCAGCGAAGGAAGACGGGACTTCACGTGAGCGTGGAGAAAACAGGGGTGATGTAGATACTCAACTAACAACAATATCAAGTAGCCATCACCATCAACGGAGAAATCCGAAGGAAATGGTCTCTTTCATCTACACCTACCTAGGCAGCATCGTCTCAACTACAGGCGGCGGCACACACGAGGATGTCAAAACCAAGATCGGAAAAGCAAAACTGCTTTTCATTAAGCTCAATTCAGTGTGCAGATCTACTGCACTGCACTTAGCATAAAGAACTAGATCCGGATTTTCAACACCAATGTCACGTCAGTGCTGCTATATGGTTCAGAAATTCGGCGTATCACAAAAAGCACTTCCAACAAACTACAGACATACGTCAATGGCTGCCGCCTACGCTCACTCGATACTGAAGATCAGATGGCCAGAATAGTAAGAATAAGCAATAAGGAACTGTGGCTGGCTGGCTGGCTGGCTGGCTGGCTGGCTGGCTGGCTGGCTGGCTGGCTGGCTGGCTGGCTGGCTGGCTGGCTGGCTGGCTGGCTGGCTGGCTGGCTGGCTGGCTGGCTGGCTGGCTGGCTGGCTGGCTGGCTGGCTGGCTGGCTGGCTGGCTGGCAACGAACCAACCAAGAACCTATCACCCAACAAATATACAGAAGAAAGTCGAGATGGATTCGATTGGACATACACTGAGAAGACCGACCGGGGACATCACGCGCCAGGCCAGGCCCTCGACTGGAGCCCAAAGAGGAAACGACGAGTTGGGTGTCCGAGGGTGACATGAAGGAGATGGTGTGAGGAAGAAATGAAAGCTTGTGGGCAGTCATCGTGCCAGGTTCAAAGACTATAGAGAAGAGAGTGAAATGGCGACGTGATACTGAAGCCCTAATGTGCCACTAGGAACTCAAGGGAAAGAAAATAAGGATACTACTTTTCTTGATAAAGTGTTAGGATGTGTGTATTTTACGAGACAATGATACATTTCGACGGAAGAAAACTTCCTTAATCCATTGTTTAACCAACTCCACAGAGGTGGTTTAAAACTGAGAAAAATTAATTCAATCAGTGAGTAAAAATTACGTTTACATTTCGGTTGTCTATATGAGATAATTACGCTTTCACACATAACAAAGTAAGTAGCACAATAAAAGCGACAAAAATTAGTATGAAAGTAGCATCACTTAAAATGACAAAGAGAAACGCAGATAGATAGGGAGTGAACACATTAAAAAGAGAAATTCAGGTTTTACAATGTGTTGTAGAAGGGTCATTTGTCTTTGTGCACACTCTCCTTCACTTCTTTGCCCAGTGTTTTCTACGTTGCACTCAGTTCCTCTACTCGTTATGCATCCTTAAACTGATTCATTCTCTGCCTCACCATCCTCCTCTCGTTGATCAGCTTACACGTATAAGTCGACATCCATACCTTCTGTTCTTTCCTCTTTCTAGTATCCAAGCATCGATGCAAGATATCACTAATTAAAAAGACGTAGCTGCTAGGTACGGAGTGTCTGGAAATCAGAGGCAGTGCCGTCAGGCTGGTGTACTTCTATAATCACCCCAGTCTGAAAGCAAGAAGGAAATCCTCCTGTGACTAATATGTCCAAATTTCCTGACCTGGAGACGGCATTTGACTCTCTCGACCGTGAGGTATTGTGCCAGTGTCTAACTGTGATAGGAGTACCGAACAAGTATGTAATGCTTATCAATGCTCTCTACTCGAACTCACGCGGCCGTGTAAGGGCCAATGGAGAGTTTTCACGTGAGTTGACGACAATTAGTGGTGTCCAACAGGGATAACCACTGTCACCGTTCCTATTTAACCTCATTATAGACGTACTAATGGACAGAACCTTAGTTGGGTCTGACTTCACAGGGATTGGCCTGCTCCCCTACCTGGAGGACATTTGGTTGACTTAGAGCATTCAGATGATATTGTCCGGTTAGGTGACAAGATGCAGACAGGGTCTTGTGAACGCGTTGAGCAGAAATCTGAATACGTTTGGCATGCGTTTCACACTTGTCAAATGTAAGATGATGCTCCAGGACTGATCTGCAACTATTCCCACTTTAATGATAGGGAGAGAAGTGGTGGAATGTGACCACCACTTCATCTATTTGGGGAGCTGCATCGACCTGAACGGGCTGGTTTCTGACGAAATCTCAATTCAGATACATAAGGCTCGTTTGGCATCTGACAACTTGCGTCATCCGTGGTGCCGACTTGCGAAATATTCGACTAGCTATCAAAGGGTGAGTATGCTACACTGCAGTTCGTTCTGTCCTCTTATACGGTTGTGAGAGATGACCGTTAAAAGTAGAAGACATGAAGTGGTTGCAGAGTTTTGATCACAAGTGTATTCGTAGGATTGCTCGCGTTTGATGGGATCACAATGTGAGCAATGTTGAGGTCAGGCGAAGGGAACTAGGCAGGACAGACAAGTCGAATTTTGAGGTTGTGAACCTTCAGAGACTGAGATGGCTTAGACATGTACTGCGCATGCCGATCCACCGCTTACATTGACGTACCATGCTAGGAGAAGCTGGATTAGTTTTAAAGACGGTTCAGAGTGGTAGCACCAGTCAATGAAGTTCCTAACTGTTGGTCTGAGCTGTGTTTGGAGGTGTAGACTACCTGGTTGGGTTCTTTGAGACGAAAGGAATCAGTGGTTGAGAACTCTTGGTGAGATGACTGAAAATCGGTAACAGTGGTGCAGATGCATTCACTCCTTGACATCTAATGTTGGGATATTTACAGTGACCGTTATCTTCAAATTTTTTATTGTCTCACACAACTTTGTCTACTTTGATATCATTCTTATTCTGTCCACCCGTTCTTTGTATGCTGTGAACTGTGACAGCCGCAACCGATGCACTTGTATGCGACGTTCTGCGTTGATTTATTGTTGTACTTTCATTTTAGTCTCCTAATTAGCAATGTCACAGTGAAGGTATTGTTGACTGTATATCGTTTCGGACATAATTTATTGTCCATATTCGTATCAGGTGAGTATGAAGAAAAAATCATTTCCGAAACATTGTGCTGTAAATATTACTGTTCCACTGTGTGGTAATTCTAATAAACAGACTAAAATGGAATCACAGGCGAACCATTTCGACGTATGATTAGTACACGTTTCAGTGAAGCTCTCGAAAGCGAAACCACACAGGTTTCAAACCTGGTCTTGTTTGTATAGACCAGATACGCATTCCTCTATGTACTGGAGTATAAGGGCACTTGCTGACAAGCAGCACCAGTTGTATTTCTCGACCTGATGGCAACACGACTCCGTGGATCAAGTCGTCCTATGGTGATGTCTGAAAGTGAAATGGGTATCACATAAGTATACGTTTGTCGAAGGTTCTGTACTGGAGAACTCATAGCTTGTCGCAGCCTGTGATGAGTTACTAGGTGACTTGCGTACATCGAGTGGTGTCTGTCAAGGATCCCCACTCTTATTTAGTTTTGTCATTGGTGTTCTTATTAAGGTCTCCCTCTCATCGTCTGACTACATAGGGATTGATCTAACCACTGAAGAATCCAGATAACATTGTCCTGTTAAATGAAGATACCGAAAAAATGCAGTTTTCTGAACACCTGGAGTGGGAACTTCAGAATGTTTGGGATGTGTTTCTCGCCACCCAAATACAAATTGTTGCTTCAGGACTGATCTTCAACAGTGCCCCGTCTAACAATAGAGTGAAGTGGTTGGCCACTTCATTTACTTGGGAAGTCGGATCAACTCTGGTGGGTCAGTGGTCGACGAAATCTCCTTACAGACACAAAAGTTCGGTCAGCCTGTGCCACCTTACATCATTTATCGGACCACCGGGATATCCGATTGTCTGTCAAGTGTCGAATAAATTGCTCTGCAGTTCTTTTCTGTTATCAGATGGCTTTTAGACACAGTCATTAAAAGTAGACGACATGAGAAGGCTTCAGGTGTTTGACTGCCGTTGCCTTCGTAGTATATGCCGTGTTGTCGTATCACCACGTCAGTAATGTCAAAGGCAGGTGTAGAGTTGTAGGGAGGAGAGGAGAGTCAGTTGATGAGGCTGTACACCTTCATGGATTCAAATGTTTTCCACTTGTGTTACACATGCCTAGCCACCGTTTGCCTCGTCGCACAATGTTAGCTGAATTAGGTTTAGGTTGGGAAAAGGCTAGGGGGAGCCAGATTAAAGTATGTTATCATTGGATGAAGTGACTGACTGTTAGTGTGAACCTTGTAAGCAGATGTATATTTCTCATTTGGGGTGTGCGTGACAACTGAGATCAGTGTTTGAAGACTATAGGTCTCAGAATCGATGTCAGCGGTGCAGATGCACTAACATATCGTCGTGATCTTAATCGTTATGCCGAATTCAGTGTTTTCTTATTGCTCGTTATCTTATTTTATCCAAACTGTCTACCAATTCAATTGTTTTCTCTACTTCTATGTCTTTCATCTTAGTGCTTTCTTGTTTGCTGTACTGATGTGGGAACTTGAACCGTTGGGTAATAGTGACTGGTCTCATTCTGGTATTGATGGCGATGCTAGAAAATAATAAAAGCCAAGCGGAACTAATGAATGCATGGGATTGAGTTTAGTTTTAATTTGTTCTTGTTTTGTGGTTTATAAAAATTAATGTGAATCAAACTTCCTCAAAAGTAGATTTTATTGTCGTGGTACACGCTAACAAATGCAGAGAAAAGAGTAACTTACGTTTATTAGAATCTATGTGTGGCCTCTGTCGTTTATTTGATGATTCTTCAGATAAGAATGAACGCATCGCTTTTTCGAAATTTTGTTCTAGGTACTTCCCCTTTTAAAAAAGAATGCACGCGATACGCAAAAGTGACATGAATGATTTATAATGAAATAAAATTCATGAGAAGAATCGTGAGGAAGAAAAATGATGTGGAATGCATATGGCTTCGAAAGTTACAGTGCAACGAAGTGAAGAAACTTCCACGACTGATCTGGATTAAAAAGCGTACTACCTACGATTTTAGAGCTGTTTTGATGGATATAATTAACGAGGACTTGTATGCTCAGCTCAATGCAGAAAGATCGAAACTGTAATTCTGATCTTGTATCTTAAAATAATTTAAGAAACCGAGCACAATCGTACTGATCAGGTGATCCAAAAACTTCGACCAAGCCAAAATAGGTTCATTAATATACGCATTTAAAAGTGAGCATTGTTGGTCGCAGAAGTATATAGGCAAGGATAAACAAAATTACAATGACACACTGAATAGTGTGCCAATTTCATTTGGAATACAGAGACAACTGAATAATTCACACAATGACATCTTGTTTAAGTCCATTGGTTAGGAATATTGAATCATTATACTTCTTCGCAAGTAAGACTTCCAGTCTCTTTCGAGGTTTGTGAAGGCTCATGTGTATTTGTAGAGTAGCAACTCCTGAAAAAGATGCTGGACTAAATTCCGTTATATCAAATCCTTCATGAAACTAGGGTCATTATGACGTAACAGTAGTGTCAAGCAGATTTTTTTGAAATGTTTTTCTTCTTGTATTTTCTTTCCTCCTGCAGCCTAAATACCAGTAAAACAGAAACTAGTAGACTCAACCTTCTTCGCCGTTTGTAAAACAATTAATGGTAGTAGCAATATCTTCCTCAGTTGACTTGAGAAGCACTAAACATGCCAAGTTTAGTGCATCATTTACTGAAGGCAAAGGAAACGTAATTGACGAATTCAGAACTGGATCTAAATAGATTTCCAGACTTCTCATTACTAGTTCTTCATTTGCACTTAACTCATGAGTAGTTACGAGGTAACAGCCAAACACAGATAAACAGAATTATCACATATCCCTCTTTCTGATAACATTCTTAGTAAATTCAGGAAAATATGATTGGTGTTTACAACCATACAACTCCATAGCACGAAATATTGAAGTAGTAACTTCTGTAATTCATTGTGTGGTCAAGAGTACGAAGTTTTGGGATAGCTTTCTCAGGCTGGAATACTACTTTTTCTAACAGTACTTAGAAAAAGGGAAGTTTTCATTAATATTCATTGCTACACACTACAATTCGATATCCCGCAAGTTTACTCTAGTTTCAGTCGAGGCCTTGATGGTGTAGTGTTCTTCGGGTTGGATGGTTTAATCGTGCAGCTTTCATCGTCATTCTAGACAACATCAGCACAAACTTCACAAAGAAGTGAGCTAAAGGAGGTTTTCGCCACAAGTGACCTAGTAGCTTGTCCTGATGGTCTTGTGTGCCACTGTTTGTTTCTGCCAGTCTTGTCATCGTCTCCATATCTATTTCGATTGGTTGTCCTGCTGACGAGAACTTTGACCTTCTTGTTGTTTCTTATTGGTTGGTAGGTTGGGTCAATATCAAGGTGTTTGTTGATCGCTGACTGATCTGAATCTCAATCTACTTAAAATTCCCTGACATTCCTTGTATTTTCTCTCCCAAGATTTCCACATTTTCCCAGTCAAATTCATGTCCACAGTTGTCTGTATGCATTGATATGAGCGAAGATATGTTATGACGCCTCACTGTTAGTTGGTGTTCAAGTAGACGGATGCGAAGAGGGCGACCACTGTCCGATAGATTTTTAGCAATTTCTGCAGTTTATTTGTAGATAACGGTGGATTTGTCTTCTTTCGCTGTTGTAGCTTTTGGTCTGAATAATAGAGGGTGAAGAGATTTTGTGGGCTTGTGAGCTAGGACGATTCCGAAAGGCTTCAATTATTTAGTAGTGAACTTGGAAACGTTCTTTATGTAGGGCAGGACGATCCCTTTGCTAGTTTTCTAGGTTGACGACTAATTATGTAAACACTTTTGATGAAGTTGCGTGGATAGCCGTTTTTTGGAAAAGTCATTAAATAGTTGTCGTCCCTTCTCCGCAAGGCTGATGTACTTCAGTATGTCTTCGCTCTGTTGAACAATGTCTTAATACAACTGATTTTTTGTTGTTGGGTTTTTGCTACGGTAATTGAGGATTTCATCCGTATGAGTTTGTTTTTGTAGACTATAGTTTCCAATGTCCGCGAATCCGTTCTAGTCATCAGAACACCATTGATGGAATGATCATCTCCAAACTCACCTGGATTCTTCTATAGGCACACACACTCTCGGTGGGATTACTCACCTCATGAATACCAACCAATGACTAACTGGATGTGGTGCATCCATAAGTCAATTTTTTGAAATTCCCTTCCGTCAACCTTGATCTCAGTGGAAGACTAGTATCTTATGTTCAAACTTTTTAATATCTGGAGCTCCCGTTCTCGAGAATGAGAACTGCACAGTCAAAACTCGGACAAAACTATTGTCAAGTGCTCACCGATTTTCAATGATTCTTAGTTTATTCCGGCTTACGGTGAGGATTATCTGCAAAGTCACTATCAGTCAACCAGTATTTCTAATAATCTAACTTTGCCTCAATGTTGAAATCAAGAGCAATCAATAATTCTCATTTTAATTACACATATCACGCAACACAAATATCACAGGTGCTATACAAGAACTTACCTCATCTAAAACGAGAAATAGACCCTCGCTACCTACAGGATATAGATAATGACGTAGAGGTACAGGACGACAGTCAGATGAAACAACATGACATGGCTGATGATGTAGATGAGCAATCCATTCCGCAAACTGTCGAGCGTTGGGAATTGTAGCGCTAAGAAATACATAACGAACGCTGTCTGGTAGAAGTACTATAGTTTCTTCCCAAACAACTCCACGTTCAGGATCACGCATATAATGGATTTCATCGAATACAACCCAGCCAACCTCTCGCATCATTGAAGCACCTCTAAAATAGAAAAAAAATCTATAGTGTACTGCAAAGAATTAGATACTTTATTCACAGTTTCAGAGCCATTTTTTATTAGAAGTGTACGACGTATGAATGATTGCTGAGCAACTTTAACGATAGAAGTCGAAAACAAACACAGTTGTTCTGAATAAACAGCGGTTGTAAAAATTCACTATATTTTTCGAAATTTGCTACCCCATGAAATTCTCGATATTTCTGCAACAGGTGCGTGATGGTAATTATGCGAACGAAATCATCTCATCATGTAACAACACACAGACTATTCAAACTGCCCTAAATTAGTTGGCTATTGGGGTAATTACGGTATGTGCCTCGCACTATTCAAAAGCAAATTACCTCAGCGAGACTGATGAGTGTCTGTATTTACCCTAGGAGGTGAATAATTGGAAGTGATCGAAAGACACCTATATGCAAGTAGGTGGATGCAGTTACTAAAACCGACTTATATTTCAGTAAAGACTATGTGAAAAGTGGGGTACAGAATCTTTGCGAACCAGTTTAGTCCATCAAGTGTATCTAACTTCGCTAACAACTATCATGTTTCAATCTAGTTAAAACCGAAATAATCACTTAAACATTTCAATAGAGAACAGGCTACTAAGTGGCTAGTCACCTCATGGTTGATGTCTCAGAAAGGTGTAGTTAAACAGCAACAAACAAGAAAGACTGATTTTTTATGATTTTTTACGTGACTGCAGCATATGTTTTCAGTCATTTACGGCATGATTTAGCTAAACTTTCCACCGCTGTAATGCTGTGGAACTTTTTCCTTATGCATTTCTTGATTTTCATTTTGAACTAAGCGTATACATTAGACAACGATGATAACAGTAACTGAGAAGCAACCTAAGTCTCCATACACTTTCGAACTGTAACATTCAAGGTGTAATTTTTGCAATAGTGGTTAACACTAGGATTTAGACAGTGGATTTAGTCATCTGAGAATTGTTAATAAGGTGTAACTGGACCTATAGCTTCAAAAACAAATGGCACAACAGGTAAGATTTGAAGCGAAAATTGCATTCAAGTTCAGTGGTGGTACACTACCACTAACTGACGGTGCAGATGCAGCAAGTTAAAAAACTTCAGCAGTACGAAGTGTCCCACGGGTCCCAGCTCTAGTCATCACCAAACAAATAATATCAAAATAAAAGCAATGACGATATCGAAGCCTTATATTATTAAACTGCTACTAACTTACTGCAAATTCCAACCAAGGACAATAGAAGTTTGAATGAAATCACTGCGAGAATGAATGAGAATGAACATGTACGAGCCTAGTTAGTAAATGTTCATTTCTAATACTACAGTATTTAAAAGTTTTACTCAGAAGCCAGACTGCGTTTGGTATTAAATTGCATCTCACTTAGGGTATAAATAAGATGAAAGGTGAACGGTAACGAAAATCTTCACTCTGTTGATTGTTTTTTCTATCAAATAAGATTTCCGTTATAAACAAAATTAGCTCACCTATATAACATGGATTGCAGAATTTCCGTGGTCATAATGAGTACACTAGCACTGGGATTGATTGTGGCATCACCTGTTAGCAGACCCACTTCTGGAAAGGCTTCGAAAAATTCTCTATACTTTTGGTTGCTGAGTGCCTTAATGGGAGTGGTATAAATTACACGTTGTTTCTCTCTCAATGCAGTTGCGATGGCATACCTAAAAAAGATATATATGAAGGAGCATTTAGTAATAATGTGAAACGGAGATCTGAACTCGCCAAGAAGGTCAAATGTGATCAGAGAATGTTATGCATAAACTGAGATTTCATCCGTAGTTTATGAGGACTGATGACGGTACATGAACCAGTCGCTCTGTGAAAACATTTTACTTTTAATGCTTGGTAGAACACACTTAATTCTGACATACATAGATGTAAAAACATGTTGAACAGCTCCACGTTTGTGCTTTGGGATTACAACTTTTCAGCTACTTTGCCTAATAACAGCATATAACTACAAGTGATTAGTGTATGTGTTCAACTGTCAATCACATTGTCATGCATCCGCTTTCTTAACATCATCATCAAAGAATTTTAGTTCAAAGTTAATCAAAGCAATTGACAGTTGATTATTTTTCAGATAACTAATATCGATGAAAGGCAACAGAAACTTTGTCAAGTAGTTTGAGGCGCAGTTTAAGGAGAACTTAAAATGTTGGTATCGGAGCCAAAGGTGGGAAAGGTGGAGACATTCTGAACAGAACACAACAGTAAAACTGCAATTCCTGAATTGTCAACAAAAGGCCAACCCAGCTTGAGAACATTTATGATGCTTACCTACACTTCCCATTTGAACAAAGGAAACCTCAGACAATGACTCTGAGTACCTTTTTGTAGACAACTAAAATGGAAACTCAGTAATTCAGAAATTAAATAAGGAACAACGAATCATTAATAACTAAGAGCCTAAGAAACATGTTAATTTCTGTGTATTAATCAGTCGTAAGAAGCATTTATCAATTCATTAGATTCAATGTTTGTGATGTAAAACCATGAGAGTAAGACTTACTCCGCCACAGCAGTTTTCCCAGCAGAAGTGTGGGCAGATAGAAGAACTGACTGGTTGTTATCAATACATGTGATAGCTTGCTGTTGAAATGCATCGAGAGTGAAAGGAAAGTTCTTCGCTGGAGAACCACTGTCCCTAATAATTGGTTTGTACTCCATATCCGGTGGGACAGCCACCTTTTAGAAATGAATAAACACATACTAATACACGATTACCTCATGTGTGCATGACTCTGGTGAATTGACTTTATATATTTGCATTCTGGGTGCATTAAATTCTAGTGATTCGCTGACAGACAATTTCGAACGCTTTGGAGAAATGCTCTCCGGATCTCCTGTACATCCTTCCAATAAAGGCTTGAGCGAAGCTTCCACCCTGAATATTAATTTTGATATAAACATGGTAGGCATGGTAGTATACAACTGCATAAACAGCAAAATAAATAAAGCAAAAAACAACGCATTCACCATGACAAACTTAAATGCGGAGAAATGGACTGAGAATCAATATGTGGGTATGACAAAATTACACATAATATCAACGTGGGGAGCTGGTAAACTGAGTAACGAGCTACGCTGTCAGGCGTATCAGCGCAATAAGTGAGAATGCGTTAAGATGAGATTGGGTGGCGGGGGGGGATGAAGTGGTTAAAACTAACACAAAGTCAAGAAAAAAGAGTGAGTATTAGTAGCACAGCAGTATAATTCGGAATCATCATCAAGATAAACAGTGTATAAATATATCTTCGTCTGTCACCTAGTCTTCAAACACTGATCTCAGTTTGTCACGCACACCCCAAATGAGAAATATACATCTGCTTACAAGGTTCACACTAACAGTCAGTCACTTCATCCAATGATAACATACTTTAATCTGGCTCCCCCTAGCCTTTTCCCAACCTAAACCTAATTCAGCTAACATTGTGCGACGAGGCAAACGGTGGCTAGGCATGTGTAACACAAGTGGAAAACATTTGAATCCATGAAGGTGTACAGCCTCATCAACTGACTCTCCTCTCCTCCCTACAACTCTACACCTGCCTTTGACATTACTGACGTGGTGATACGACAACACGGCATATACTACGAAGGCAACGGCAGTCAAACACCTGAAGCCTTCTCATGTCGTCTACTTTTAATGACTGTGTCTAAAAGCCATCTGATAACAGAAAAGAACTGCAGAGCAATTTATTCGACACTTGACAGACAATCGGATATCCCGGTGGTCCGATAAATGATGTAAGGTGGCACAGGCTGACCGAACTTTTGTGTCTGTAAGGAGATTTCGTCGACCACTGACCCACCAGAGTTGATCCGACTTCCCAAGTAAATGAAGTGGCCAACCACTTCACTCTATTGTTAGACGGGGCACTGTTGAAGATCAGTCCTGAAGCAACAATTTGTATTTGGGTGGCGAGAAACACATCCCAAACATTCTGAAGTTCCCACTCCAGGTGTTCAGAAAACTGCATTTTTTCGGTATCTTCATTTAACAGGACAATGTTATCTGGATTCTTCAGTGGTTAGATCAATCCCTATGTAGTCAGACGATGAGAGGGAGACCTTAATAAGAACACCAATGACAAAACTAAATAAGAGTGGGGATCCTTGACAGACACCACTCGATGTACGCAAGTCACCTAGTAACTCATCACAGGCTGCGACAAGCTATGAGTTCTCCAGTACAGAACCTTCGACAAACGTATACTTATGTGATACCCATTTCACTTTCAGACATCACCATAGGACGACTTGATCCACGGAGTCGTGTTGCCATCAGGTCGAGAAATACAACTGGTGCTGCTTGTCAGCAAGTGCCCTTATACTCCAGTACATAGAGGAATGCGTATCTGGTCTATACAAACAAGACCAGGTTTGAAACCTGTGTGGTTTCGCTTTCGAGAGCTTCACTGAAACGTGTACTAATCATACGTCGAAATGGTTCGCCTGTGATTCCATTTTAGTCTGTTTATTAGAATTACCACACAGTGGAACAGTAATATTTACAGCACAATGTTTCGGAAATGATTTTTTCTTCATACTCACCTGATACGAATATGGACAATAAATTATGTCCGAAACGATATACAGTCAACAATACCTTCACTGTGACATTGCTAATTAGGAGACTAAAATGGAAGTACAACAATAAATCAACGCAGAACGTCGCATACAAGTGCATCGGTTGCGGCTGTCACAGTTCACAGCATACAAAGAACGGGTGGACAGAATAAGAATGATATCAAAGTAGACAAAGTTGTGTGAGACAATAAAAAATTTGAAGATAACGGTCACTGTAAATATCCCAACATTAGATGTCAAGGAGTGAATGCATCTGCACCACTGTTACCGATTTTCAGTCATCTCACCAAGAGTTCTCAACCACTGATTCCTTTCGTCTCAAAGAACCCAACCAGGTAGTCTACACCTCCAAACACAGCTCAGACCAACAGTTAGGAACTTCATTGACTGGTGCTACCACTCTGAACCGTCTTTAAAACTAATCCAGCTTCTCCTAGCATGGTACGTCAATGTAAGCGGTGGATCGGCATGCGCAGTACATGTCTAAGCCATCTCAGTCTCTGAAGGTTCACAACCTCAAAATTCGACTTGTCTGTCCTGCCTAGTTCCCTTCGCCTGACCTCAACATTGCTCACATTGTGATCCCATCAAACGCGAGCAATCCTACGAATACACTTGTGATCAAAACTCTGCAACCACTTCATGTCTTCTACTTTTAACGGTCATCTCTCACAACCGTATAAGAGGACAGAACGAACTGCAGTGTAGCATACTCACCCTTTGATAGCTAGTCGAATATTTCGCAAGTCGGCACCACGGATGACGCAAGTTGTCAGATGCCAAACGAGCCTTATGTATCTGAATTGAGATTTCGTCAGAAACCAGCCCGTTCAGGTCGATGCAGCTCCCCAAATAGATGAAGTGGTGGTCACATTCCACCACTTCTCTCCCTATCATTAAAGTGGGAATAGTTGCAGATCAGTCCTGGAGCATCATCTTACATTTGACAAGTGTGAAACGCATGCCAAACGTATTCAGATTTCTGCTCAACGCGTTCACAAGACCCTGTCTGCATCTTGTCACCTAACCGGACAATATCATCTGAATGCTCTAAGTCAACCAAATGTCCTCCAGGTAGGGGAGCAGGCCAATCCCTGTGAAGTCAGACCCAACTAAGGTTCTGTCCATTAGTACGTCTATAATGAGGTTAAATAGGAACGGTGACAGTGGTTATCCCTGTTGGACACCACTAATTGTCGTCAACTCACGTGAAAACTCTCCATTGGCCCTTACACGGCCGCGTGAGTTCGAGTAGAGAGCATTGATAAGCATTACATACTTGTTCGGTACTCCTATCACAGTTAGACACTGGCACAATACCTCACGGTCGAGAGAGTCAAATGCCGTCTCCAGGTCAGGAAATTTGGACATATTAGTCACAGGAGGATTTCCTTCTTGCTTTCAGACTGGGGTGATTATAGAAGTACACCAGCCTGACGGCACTGCCTCTGATTTCCAGACACTCCGTACCTAGCAGCTACGTCTTTTTAATCAGTAATATCTTGCGTTGAAGTTCGAAAACTTCAAGGGAAAGGCTTCAGGGATGCGTTTTTCGAAATTGTGAATTCGCTGAGACTCACTAACAGCCTCTCTTTCTGAAAGTCAATCACGATACCTCACCCTGGCAGTAGGCTTCTGTTGGAAAAGTGACTTCATGTTCCAATAACTGTCAAATCAGTTTCTCCCTGAAAGCAGGTTCGGAGTTCTCACAGTTGAGCTATGCTCGTAATGATATTGTTGTTGTGGTTGTTCAACATCCATTTAGTAGCAGACATACGTGTACTCGAACCACGACCTTATTGCTATCTCAACATGCATGCTGCAGAAGGAGCGGTAATGTTCCACAGGCCCTCGCGATGAACGGTGGCAGTATGCCTTATCTTTAAATATTGTTGAACTGAGGTCGGTGGATTCCATGTCAGACAATGTCTGTCCTTACATCTGAAGTTTGTGATGACCAGAAATAGGTGGTTTTCTGAGCACAAATACAGCTGTTAATCACCATTATCTGTGCGTTTGACTTGGATTCCAAAACTATCACCTAACCGCTTTTCTGCTTAACATAAGCTACTCATTTGTGCATTGAAATCGCCTGCTACAACAGTCACATCTAAAAGATTTTCGTGTAGGTATGAAGTCAATGTTTCTCTGATGTCGGAAATATTTACTTTAGTCAATACGATGTTCATCAGACATGATGCATCGAAAGCAGTGTTCACCAGAAAAGTTAGATTCTAGTATTAACTGCATTCAACGAAGTTTCTTTTTGTTCGTGAATTCAAATCAAATCTGGTGACTAGCATGTCTTCATACGCCATTGTCTAGATAGTCTTGTGACACCTTCCAATAGTACTGGGAAATTGAATACCTCATGACACGGTTAACAGGTTTACCTCTTAAGTGCTTTTGTAGAGTGGAATTAACTTCGCAATGTGTATTGGGAATTTCACGAAGCTAGAAGATAGAACGAGGGGTATGTCAAGCCTGAACGTTTTTACGTCCCAAGATGGCTGCACAATATATTATTTTTGAGTACATCAACTGATATGAATGAGATTCGGTAGACAACTGTCCAACATCCCACGTGATGAACCTAGGACCAATTCGAGACCACATTCTTGAACGTAGCAAACGTTGCGTCAGCTAGTATCAGGTTGACAAATTACTAACCAGGTAATAGCACTGCTAAGTGAGTGATTCATTCACCAAACGTCAACCGAGGTTGAAGAAAATCTAGTGGGACCAATGAACCCGTGATTTTTGTAGAAATTCCTGTAACGCACACCAATAACTTTTAGTGTCTGCATAGATACTTTTCGAAACGTACTTTAATTCTGTCACATGCAAACATTCATGCAGATATGATAGTCCATATTTGCATATGTATGCTTGGAACATCTACATAGTAAATACTTCTACCTTAAACAAATGATGTTAAGTTACAAGTAATTCTATGACTGACATCGATTCACATCATATTAACGTTACTGATGCACCTCGGGGACAAACCGCACCACCATCTTAATACATGACCTAGTATTTTATTGGCAGACTAGCTCACAATTGGTTGTTTCCACTAATCGTCAAAGAAATCTAAAAACAGTTAACTCACTTTCGTTTTTTCTCCTCAAAATCTTCAGATTGGTTGGAACTGGTATCAGGCAATGCCACTGACGATGGCTGCCCAGAATTAAAAGCTGACGTCAGTGCATCCAGATCCAATCCGAACGCTGAAGACATGATACACGTGAAATGACCAGCTGTTGGTGGACTTCCGTCTGACTTTTAGGTAAGTTATGAGCAAAATAATGTATGCTATGATGTGGCAAAGAAAATCTGGAAGGGAAGAAAACAGGAAGGCGTGTGCGAATGACTCATATAACACAAATAGCGTACTTACCTCTAATTATACAATGTAACCGACGAACGGTAACAGTTCACAACGAGGAAGCACCTGGAAAGCGAAGCTAGACCAATGAAGTTTCAAAAAGGTTACATACGTACACAATCACCAGTGCGACCTTCATCAACAATGATTCAAACGTGCATCCAATTTCCATTGTATTTTTTCCAGTTTGCACAAACCAATTAGTTTATTTACCTTAGCTTCTGGGTCTTGTTGAGTGGAATATAAAGGCCCTCAATGTCTGCAAAAATATAATGCAAAAGATCTCCATAAACAAGTCATTCTGCGGTATCGAATAAAGGCGAATCCAATATCCTTTTACAAGCTAGTGTAAACCAATTGACTCCTTCCTGCTCATTTCCGGATCTTTGGGGGATTCCTATGCACTAGGCTCACCCACTTGACTGCTGTAGCTCTAGTTAGCCCGACGGGCGGTTAGGTGTTGGCTAAAATTGTAGGGAGTGTTGTTCGTTTTGTTTTCTTCCGAGGACTGTAGTGCAGATGTGTTCCTCAAGTATCATGCTGGCAGACAGTCGGTCGGACTGGTTGCAAAAAGATGAAAAATATGTGCGAAGAAATCAAAGGGGAAAGTCCAGAGAAAGATAAAATAGAAAAGGAAAGGGAAAATAAAAGAAGGAAAGATTAGGAAAATGAAACGGCACGGAAGAAGAAGCATTGGTAGGTTTATGGGAAATAGGTGACAGGGAGAGCTTTCGTTAAGGTTTGAGAGCGTGAAGTCAGGAGGAAGAATAATAAATAACATGACATGAGGAATGGGAATGTAGTAATTCTTTTAGTAGGAGACAGTTCCTGGAGGGAAACCGTAGGGGACGTCTGCAGGAAGGTATAAGGTTGAGCCAAGTTCCCAGTGATAGTGGTTTTACAAAGTGTTCAGTGACGGTCGGTTGTACCAGGTTAGTAGGCCATTTCAGCCTAGCCTACATCCCAGTTGCATGGGCGCAAACCGTCCGCCACTGCGTAACTGTCCAACCTCTTCTTGAAGCTGTCAACAGACGAAGCAGTAGCAATCTCGGCAGGCAATGCGTCCCAGTGGCCGCTGTAGCGTCATACACTTCCCCAAAATCAATAGCCTAGGGTTTGACGACTTTCGACATTGATGCTGACCTTGATAGTTTAACTGGACTCGCTAAGCTGAAGGCATCCGGTCAAGCATCCTCGCCATTTGGCACGCTGTCGTGTTACGTTGCATTGCTCGTATTCGACTCTCTAGCCAGTTAGTTGGAACGCATCGGTATTTTGGCATAACCATCCAAATATACTATTCCATCCGACTACGCTATCGTGTTCTTTTTTGGTCTCGTATTCGTGGGTATATAACAAGTTCGAATAATTAGTGATTGGTCTTTGCGTCTGTCAAGTTCGCACCAGGACAAATCCTAAATTGGTGAGCCCGACGTGATCACATATCCCGACCAATAACAAGTATTGAATTGGTGAGCCTGTTCCATTTTATATTTGTTTATTATTTTCATTTCGATAACATTTATATATCCATTTACTACACTTTCTCATGTCCGACCACACTCCCAAGCTTATTCGTATTAAGCCGACTACGAACACGATCCAACTCGTGCCATATTGGCCAGACAATGCAGAAACATGGTTTCTGTATGCCGAGGCCGATTTTCGAGAACAGGGTGTCTCAGATCCTCAATCTCGATTTCTTGCCGTCATACGTTCACTACCGCGAGAATTAAACAGGTTTGTTACAGCAAACATGTTTAATCCTGAAGTAAGTGACCCTTATGCACTTCTAAAGGCCGCACTCTTGAAGAAAAGCGATCTCACAGATCGCCAACGTCTAGACGAATTGCTTCGTAACATCGAGCTAGGCAGCCACTCAGCTACTGAAGTCCTCGCACGCATGCGAGAAGTAATCGGTGCACGAACATTTGACGATGGTTTCTTCCGAGAACTATTTCTCTCGAAACTACCACAACCGGTGCAAACCGTGTTGGTGACACTCCAGTCAGTCCCACTCGACGACCTGGCAGCCTCAGCAGATAAAATACTGGAGATATCCAGCAGACCCGTCTCCAACGTATATTCTATCTGCGACAAAACAGAGCGCCAGGATTCAGAGGTGACCAAGTTGTGCAACTCTGTGAGACGGTTGCTACGATCTCGAAGTCCTAGATCACGTAGCACTTCACGGAAACGCACCTTGGCGCATCGCAGCAAGTCGCGTGGTAGCCCTAAAACGAAACCCAACAGGGTGGAAAACCCTGAATGGTGCTGGTTTCATAACACTTACGGGGATGAAGCCAGAAAATGTCGTAAACCATGCCGTTTTAAGAAGGACACAAACTCGGGAAACGGTCACGCCGGCACGTGCTCACGGCAACCGTAGCCGGCGGAAAAAGCCGTTTGCTCTACGTCACCGATATTAAAACGAAAGTCCGCTACCTCGTCGACACCGGCGCAGAAGTTAGCGTTCTTCCAGCAACGACAAAGGAGCGTCATCATGACCCACCTTCAATCTTCAAGCAGCCAACGGCAAGGCAATCGCGACATTCGGGAGACGGTATGCCTACCTCAACTTAGGTTTACGCAAACCTATTCACTGGATTTTCCTCCTGACGTCTCTATGCCCATCATTGGCATAGATTTGCTAAACCATTACGATCTACTCGTAGATGCTCGCCGTCGACGACTGATAGATAACAGCACAAAGTTATCTATTGGCGGCACCACCTATGTAGGTCCGAGTTTAGCCATCGTTAGGACTAAACAATCAGGCGACGCGTCCTACCAGGCAGTTCTGGAGAAATATCCAGAGTTACAGCAACCGAAGCACACTCTTCCGTGCATAACCAGCAATGTTATGCATCACGTCACAACCACCTGTGGCATCCAAAGCGCGCCGTCTAGCCCCGATAAGCTCAAACGGCGAAAAATGAATTCGACCACATGCTCGAACTGGGCATTATCAGACCGTCAAACAGTCCTTGGGCATCGCCATTGCACATGGTTCCCAAAAAGGATAGCAACGACTGGCGTCCAACCGGTGATTACCGAAGGCTTAACGCCAAAACAACTCCGGACTGCTACCCGATACCTCACGTTTACGACTTGACCGCAACCTTATGCGGAATGAACATTTTCTCCAAAATCGACTTGGTCAAAGCGTACAACCAGATACCTATAGCAGCAGAAGATATCGCGAAAACAGCCATTATTACTCCTTTTGGCCTGTTTGAATTCCTGCGCATGCCATTTGGTCTTCGGAATGCAGCACAAACATTCCAACGCTTTATGGACGATGTCTTCCGTGGTCTGAATTTTGTTCATGTCTACATCGATGACTAATTGCGAGTCCAGATAAGGAAACACACCTTAAACATTTGGACCTCGCATTCGAAAGACTCAAAAAACATGGCATCACAGTTAACTTACAGAAGTGTGAAATAGGAGTTGAATCACTCAGCTTCCTTGGGCATACCATTGACAACAAAGGTATACGCCCATTGAGAGATAAAGTGGCGGCTATCACAAACTATCCAGAGCCGACCACTGTGAAACATCTCCGCACTTTCAATGGCCTGGTAAGTTATTACCGAAGGTTTATCCCTAACTGTGCCTCTGTCATGAGACCACTCACAGATCTACTTCGAGGAACTGCGAAGTTCGTGTCTCTGGACAACGCGGCTAGACTTGCTTTTTCTAAAGTCAAGGAAGCCATTTCGAACGCAACCATGCTTATGCATCATGACCCCAATGCTCCTCTGAGTATTGCTGTTGATGCATCTGATTCAGCAATTGGAGCAGTTTTGCAACAGTTGACTGACAACCAGTGGCAACCGTTAGCCTTTTTCTCGAGGCGGCTGCAAGACGCGGAAACAAGATACAGTACATTTGGTAGGGAACTCCTAGCCATGTACTGTTCTGTACGCCATTTTCGACATTCTGTGGAAGGTCGTGATTTCATTATTTTCACAGACCACAAACCGTTAACCTTTTCCCTCAGCTCGGCGTCTGACAAATACTCCCCTCGTGAGTCGCGACAGCTGGATTACATTTCCCAGTTCACGTCAGACATCCGCCACATTTCTGGAGCAAACAACTCCGCAGCCGACGCACTATCTCGAATAGCTTCGATAAACTATATCGAGGGTATTGATCTCGTTGAACTAGCTCGGCGTCAAAAGGAAGACCTTGAGCTGCATCATGAGTTGTCGTCCACAACTCTCAAACTGCGACTTTGTCCTGTTGGATCAGACAAGGATGCAATTTTGTGCGATGTCTCTGCTAGTCAACCACGCCCAATAGTTCCGAAGAGTTGTCGACGCAACGTCTTCAATACGTTGCACAAACTCTCTCATCCAGGTGTACGAGCCACCATTAGGCTTATCGCACAACGTTTCTGCTGGCCTGGGATGAACAAAGACGTTAAGGAGTGGGCCCAGTCGTGCTTAGCTTGTCAAAAGTGTAAAGTCACGCGACACACGAAAAGCCCTTTAGGCTCATTTCTAGCCCCAGACATGCGTTTCGACCACGTCCATATAGATATTGTAGGACCCCTACCAGAATCTAATGGATGTACCTACCTTTTCACTTGTGTTGATCGTTTCACACGATGGCCGGAAGCAGTACCCATTAAAGATATTACTGCCGAAACAGTTGCTCGTGTTTTCGTCGAAAGATGGATCGCGAACTTCGGATGTCCATCCTACGTCACAACCGACCGTGGGCGCCAATTTGAGTGCGGACTATTTCACGCTCTAACGGCACTTTTAGGTTGCACTCGGTTCCGAACGACAGCCTACCATCCACAAGCAAATGGCATGGTAGAGCGTTTCCATC